CTTGAGTATTTAAAAGTGGGAGATGTAAACACCCTACACAGGTGATTTCAGGATATTACTACATAAATAAGGAAAGCTGATGATTGAAAAGTTGAAGTCATTCTGTTTGTCAAACAATTTACTAGTAGTTGTTAACTGGCTCATATCATCTGTAGTAAGTAAAATATCCAAATACGAAACAGATGTGACAGACTCTGTGGTGTCTTTAATTACAAGTTTCAACTAAAGCAAACAAAACTAATTCATATAATAGTTCCATTTATTAAATATAATATGAAAATATTCTTGTTACTTTAGTCATTACATATGATTTTATATTTTTGAATAATAAATTATTACAGAACATTTTCTATAGCATTCTTTTAACTACAGTATATATATAAATTTTTTATGAAAATGAAATGAAATTACCGGTATAAATACAGGTGTATCACACAAGCATACAACTTTACAAATCAACAATAATATCACAGACTGAGATTTATTTTTTAAAGAAATATAAAAAAAATAATCAACATTAAATATATGTAATTCAGTAATAGAGATTATTAAAATTTCCATTTGTAGTTCTTACACTTTAATCAGAAAAATCTTGATTAAATAAAACAGTAACACCAACATTCAAAAAAATGATTGTGCACATGTTGGAGGATGCAGAAATTGATTACTTACAAGTTGTGGGACACTGACTAATTCAGTAACGGGTCTACAGCATAATAACAAATGCACCTTACATGTAGGGCCTAACCAAAACAAAAATTAAAATGCTAACTGGTTTATAAAGAATAAGCCAATAAAGCTGTATTACATTCCAATCAATTTAGTGTCCCTACCAACGGCCTCTATATACCCCCCAAACCTTATAAAAATATATATTATCAAAACTAGAAAACTGACCAGTCAGCAAGGGCCCCGCTGAGGGGTAGAAATATAAGGGTGCAGCTCATTGAATGAGAGTTTTACTTGATTACATTTTTTTTAATATATAAAGATTATAAGTAACAACTGCATTTTTAAAATTTCAAGATAATTCCTGAATGTCCAAAAACCTGTAAATAGTAACCTTGTATTAACAGAAAATAGGGAAAACCTCATGTCTTATTAAAAAAAACTCAATTTAATGTGTATTTAAAAAAGATTTAAGCAGGTGTTTTATAAAATGCAAGCCTTCAGTGAATGCAAATATCACCCAGGGTTGACCTCAACTTCAAAACAAACATCAGTTGAGACAAAGGTGTTCATTAATCTTCATGTGACAGATAAAGATAAGCCTCTAAATTTTCTGCAACAAGCAAGATAATTAATCCCAGGGGATTAATTGTATTGCTCTCCCATCCTTTTCTTCTATATAAATTTACAATAAGAACTTTTTTCAGCACTGACAGAATGGAGTTATTATCTGATTACCTGTTAAAATTAACAGCATTAAGGCAGCAAAACAAATTAAACTAGAGCAAAGCTCGTTGCAAAGCAACGAGTAGGTCTTCCGTCCTGTTTTGACCGGAAGTGACGTCAACAAAACAAAACAATGAGCTAAGTCGTCTCCAGTCACTTTATAATTTCAATTTTGCAACAAAACCTTTAAAAATAAGCCACTTTTTGCTACTTCCGGTTTGACCGGAAGTGACGACGACGCACGGAAAATTAATTTTTAAGCTCCCAGAGACATATGTTACCCAAAAACTTGTCAAAAACGGCAAAAATATGCATTTTCCGACTACTTCCGGTTTGACCGGAAGTGACGTCGCCGGACGCATTTTGACGACTTCAATAGATTAAGATTGACATTTTGAACAACTTTGCTTCTTGGACGTATGACAAATTCTCAATACATTTTGAGATATCTGGAAAAAATTTTTGGCCCCTCTAGATCCCTTAATTTAGGGGTCAGCCCTTTTTCCGAGATATCATTTGAAAGATCTTCTAATTCTGCACAAATTTTGTTCTATATGTCTTAACAAAATATTTTTAGTTTAGAGGATAAAAAGCAAAATATGAGTAATTTTTAGCTCTTTTAAGCGTTCTAATTTTTGACCCCTATATAACGCCATTTTGAATAGAGAAATCGAAAAATAAAAACCGATGTGCACAACTTCAATCCTTCTATTATCTAAAATCAGTAGAATTTCTGCTCCATCTTTAGCCGTCTCTGAGCCTTTGTCTGGAAAGGAAAGCCTATAAATTTTCGTTTAAAGGGAAATAACTCAAAACCGGAAGTGACTTTTTGAAATTTTTGACAGCATTCTGATAGAGTTTAGTAACTTCTAGTACCTCTGAAAATTTGAGCGAAATCAATTGAGAAATGAGTGAGATATGAGGCTTCAAAGTTGGCGTCTAGGAAGTAGAAGAAAAAAAAAGAATAATAATCTTTACCAACAGAATCAGTAGAAGGTCTTCCGTTGGAAACGGAAGACCTTAATTAAATAAATAATTAAAAAATAAAATAGTAATAATAAACAAGAGGCCCACGGGCCTTATAGGTCACCTGAGCATTATGCAACAACTTCCCAGTTACAGTGTATTGAATTTGATTCATGTTTTAAGCCAGATGCTATATGGCATTCACAATTTTGAAAGAGGCACCATTGATCATCATAACAATACACTTAGCAGTTGCTAAGCTTGGTAACTGTCAATACCCATACGCAGGGTAGGGGAACAAAAATGCACTCCAACTAATCAGTAATATTCAGCAATAATCAGTAGTGCCCCTAACACTGTGACATAAACCCCTGACCTTAGGTCCACACATTGCATAAATTTTTAAAAGGCGCCCTTAAAATTTCCTATCAAAAAATAAATACATGTTTTATAAATACAAAGGAGCAGATTTCAAACAATTAATTCATTTTCAGTATATAAGTAGAGCCCCCCCCCACCCCTGACCCTGGGGCCTTGAAATTCACAATTCTGCAAGATTAGGGCCCTTGCTCATCATAACTATATAGGTAGTTCATCTGCTTCATACCCAGAGACAGAGAAGAAAATTTTCTCAGATTTAATGTACTTTCACTATATAATCAATAGAGCCCCAGCCTAACACCAGATCCCCAGACCCTGGGGCCATAAAATTCATAATTTTAGAAGGGGCATTCTTGCTCATCATAACTATGTACTTAGTTAGTTTATTTAATTCCTAGGAGCAGAGAAGAAGATTTTGAAAGAATTCAAGTATTTTTACTATATAATCTATAGAGCCCCGCCCTAACACCAGAACCCCTGACCTTGGGACCATAAAATTCACAAATTTGGTTGAGGCACTCTTGCTCATCATAACTATGCACTTAGTTAGTTTATTTAATACCTAGGAGCAGAGAAGAAGATTTTCAAAGAATTCATGTATTTTCACTATATAATCCATAGAGCCCCCCCACCCCCCAACACCAGAACCCTTGACGATGGGGCCATAAAATTCACAATTTTGGTAGAGGCACTCTTGCTCATCATAAATATGTACTTAGTTGGTTTATTTAATACCCAGGGGCAGAGAAGAAGATTTTCAAAGAATTCATGTATTTTCACTATATAATCAATAGAGCCCCCCCACCCCCAACACCAGAACCCTTGACGATGGGGCCATAAAATTCACAATTTTGGTAGAGGCACTCTTGCTCATCATAACTATGTACTTAGTTGGTTTATTTAATACCCAGGAGCAGAGAAGAAGATTTTCAAAGAAATAATGCATTTTCACTATATACTTATTTAGCCCCGCCCTAGCACTAGAACCCCTGACCCCAGGGCCATGAATTTCACAATTTTGGTAGAGGACTCAATGCTGATTACAATCATGCAAATAGTTTGACTGCTTGATGTCCAGGAGTAAAGAAGAAGATTTTTAAAGATTGCATTAATTTTAGTGGTTTTGGCCCCACCCCTCAGGCCCCAGGGTGGCAGGGATCATGAAATTCAAAATTTTTGTTCCCCTTCACCCATAGATGCTTTGTGCCAAATTTGGTTGAAATTGGTTCAGTGGGTGCAGAGAAGAAGCTGAAAATGTTCAAATGTTAACACACGACGCACGATGGACGACAACGGATGAAAACAGATAGCAATAGGTCACCTGAGTTTACTCAGGTGACCTAAAAAGGATATCTTAAGGTCAGACGACACGTTCCTCAAATATATGTTTAGTATCTCTTGGTATTACATAAAAAAATATTCATATTTGTCATTCTCTTCTGATTTCTACATTGTTCTCAAAATGTTTTTAAATATAAATACACCAAAAATTGTGTTATAGGCCATTTAGAAGATTATCCATCAGGGTTATATAAGAAATATGTCCCTATGGTATCTTGGCCAAATGCCTGGTAAGGTACCCTAATTTTTTGTGAGGAAACATGTTTAAGTAACTTTACTTCAATGTCAAATTCTTAGGAAAAATTATATATTTTTGAGGAACGTGTCGTCTGACCTTAATATATATCTTGATTTTAGGATTCAATCAAATTATGTTAAATATGTGTACAGTATTTTAACCAATATAAAGTATGAACATTATTTTAAATCCATATTTCACAGAATGTACACACCATTCAAAATTGACCTTAACTTCAAAACAAAGTTCATTGCAGACAGAGGCTGGTAGAGTAATTAATCTCAATTTGACAGATAAAGATAATGCTTAGGATTTTCTTCATGTGGAAGGTTAATTAATCCCAAAGGACAAATTACACAGCCTTCCCAGTTTACAATGGTAACATTCTCAGCAGTTATCTCTCTTTGCCCATTCATTCTTATGCATAGTTAAGGAGTCTACCCCACCACACCAGCTCCAAACCAGAAGACATAGAGAACCAATTTTAGCATCAAAATATGTATTTCTGCCTACTGAACTACCATACCAAATTTGAACCTGATTGGGCAACCTTTAAAAAAGTTATTAGAAAAAAACAGAAAATTTGTGGACGGAAGAGTGACAGACGGACAGACAGACAGACGGACGGACAGAGTGATTACTATAGGGCACCCGCAAATCCTTGCGGGGCCCTAATAAGCCCTCTACAGTTCTTGGATCAGTAATATTTCATCAGCATGTGCTTGAGCAATATGCTCCTCCTCCTGTAACACCTGTAGTTTCTTTTGAATGTCTAACCCCAGCAATCTCCGTAAATGTTTGCAACAAATATCTCGAAGTGAGGATGCATTATAGAATAGTTCCTCTGCTTTCTTTTTGTGAATACTAGAGCCATCTAGTTTGGCTAAGCATTCTTCAAATTCACAAATGTCAGGATAAATTGCCCTCTTTAGGAGTAACAGGAAAATGTCAGCAGATTTGGGACTTAGATGGTTAACAGGAAACATCACTGACAGAGACTGGGTGGGATAGTTTAGTCTAAGAAACAGCTTGACTAACTCCATGTTTTCTTTCCTGACTGCCATTGTTAATAAATTCCTCCCTCTCAAACTGTTCTTCAGAATATCACTTCCTGTTTTAATAAGGAGGTTACACATTCTTGTATTCTCATTTGACACTGCAATACCCAGAATGCTTTGCCTTTCCTCCAGTGAACTTTGCATAATATTGTTCTGTTCAATTGGTATATAGTTCACATCAGCCCCATATGACAGTAAGTGTGATACAATCTTGGTATTATTTTCATGGACTGCAATAACAAGGGGAGTTGATCCTGCATTGTCAGCAACATTTGGATTAGCTCCACCTTTTAAGAGATGAACAACACTCAAATCATCATTTCTGGACACTGTAATGTGTAAAGGAGTCCTTCCATTTGCATTGACACCATTAGCATCAGCACCAGCTTCTACAAGAACTTTAACAACCCCTGGATTTAGTCTTATTTGAGATACAGCTGTGATAAGTGGTGTACTATTTTTAGAGTCCTTAGCATTCACATGAGCTCCTGCATTTATAAGAAGCTCACACAAAATAGGATCCCATTTTTCTGCAGCCATGTGAAGGGGAGATGTTTTGGAACTCTCAGGGGAAAGATTTACATCACATCCGTATTCTATCAGGGACTTAATAATCGTCAAGTAGTCGTCCTTGAAGGCAGTCAAAAATCGAAAAATTGCTCGCATTAGAGGAGTAATGCCATGGTTGTTTTGGAGATTTTTGGAAATATGATTACTATTTAAGAAGCTGAGGACAGCTTGGCTATTTCCATGTTTACAGGCAATATGCATGGCAGAATCACCAGACTTATTTTTAAGACAAACATTAGCTCCTAACATAAGCATTCCATCTATTATATCAGTATGTCCCTTTTCAGCAACTATATGTAATGCTGTACCAGCAGTATGTTGTGAATGTATGTAAGACTCAGTGAATATGTAATTGACATCCAAACCATGGACTAGAACACATTCTTCTATTCTAGACAGGTCCCTGTCAACTGCCGCCAGGTAAAATTTCCTTATGAGTTCCGGCGATTCTACCATCATTGCCATCACGTTGTGTTTTTAATCATGACATATGGATTGGTTACAGGAACTTAGCTTTTGGCCATTAATTCCTGCCAAAAATTAAAGAAATTTAAATAGTGAACAGCAAATGGGAAAATTTTTGCCCCTACCTGTTTTTTTTTGTTGTTGTCACTTCTGCTCTTTTGCTTGTGGGTGAATTTAAACAGGGCAGATTCAAAGAACACAGTATAATTTCTTACACAAAGCTTTAACTTGGCAAATTTAAAATGGGGCAAAATTGTTTGCAAATGCAAAAGGGTAGAAAATAACACAGGGTTAAAATAACACTGTCTACAGTATATCATTCTGTTTGATTGGGATATCAACATCTGGACCATATTTCTGATGAGTCAACAATAGATGCTGCATTCCAAATGCTATTTTATAATTTAGTATACAATGTCATCATTTTATGAGGAAAATTGTGATCTTTTTATTAGGTTGCTTATTTAAGTAAATTTATAATAAATCAATGAATTATAGCTATAAAGTATGGGAAATGCTTAAATCAATTATGATAATGTATCATAAAGGATCATGCACCAAAACTACAGTAAAAATTCATTTACTAAATCTTGACCTTATTTGTACATGTTATACCAAAAATTGATTCAACTGATATTTTAAGAAGCATCTTTTACACATTTAACTGAGAATTGTTTACTCACATGTCTTTTCTTATCATAGGTCTCATAATAAAGCTTGGCAAACTGTTCCCCTGCCTCTGCCGCCTGGTCTATTTTAGCAGCTTGATCCTGTCAATATTAAGTACAAAATCTGATCATCTTAAATCTAAATTAATATGTGCTGAAAATAACTTTCCTTGCTTTGTTGCTAAGAAAATTTGATGTTGCCATGGAGATAGCTAATATATTAGAAATTGCCGTTGGTTCTCAAAGATTACAAAAATAAATTTAAACAATTTTTCATTGTCTAACATTTTATATATTTTTTTTAATTCATCAAAATATCCAATTTTGTTGTCTGACAATAGATATACATCAGATAGCCGGGGCAGTGATTGGGATAAGCACGCGCCCTGCGCCATAGTCGCATTAAATTTCAAAATGTCACATTAAAATTGCAATCGCTGCGCCATCGTGGCGCATATATAATCATGCACTACATACTTTTAAACTTTGAGCTTTCCCCCAAGCGCTTGTAGTATTTCCCAAAACAATCGCTGTCAATTTACGCTTGATAAAATAGTATTTAATGTCGTTCAATTAAAGCGTTCTTATGACTTTCTTTTCTGCAGTATCTAATCAAACAGTTACGTGTTTTCTGACTGGCTAATGTGCACGAAATAAACTGGTGTCAGGCGTGCAGCATGCTGCTTAAGAAAATACCTCGTACCGATAAAGGGCAGACTTTTCTTAATTTTAACAATCCTAACAAACAGAATTCTAGTAAATCGGTAGAAAATGACCCGGAAGAAGTATAACATGCTGACAGAACGAATGGGGATGAATCTGGCGGTAAGACTGATGTAGCCTTGGAGGAAAAACCAAAACGAAAACTTAACATGAATCGGAGGGAAGCAGTATAGATCTAAACCAGGCTTTAAATCATTTTAAAGATGTCAAACATCGGAGACAAAAAATAAAGAATTGAAATTAATTTGCAGTGTTTATTTTCTGACATTTGTGAATTTAAATATACTAATTTTGTATCTTTTAATGTTGTCATTCAATAATTTGACAATTTCAATTAAGTCAAGTCAACTGAAATTCTAACAGCAAGTAATCAATTGCAAGTTTGTAACTAGGAAATGTCCCATTAAAAAGTCTGTTTGGCGCATTGAATTTTGAAATGTCACATTGACACTGACTTGGAGTGCGCCATTGTCACATTTACTCCCTAGCTTATCCCAATCACTGAGATAGGAATTTCAAAATGGTATTATCCTTAAGTATCCACTGAGTCGGACAGTATATGGCCATAAGAGAGTCAAAGTAGCCTAATTTTTACCATTCAATGAAAAGGAAATTTTTTTTTTTTTAAATTGTTCTGACATCAAATAATTCAATTTTCTAAGAGTTTTTCACTGACCGACCGACAGCAGCAAAGCAATATGCCCTGGGAAGGTATAATGCCCTGATAGTATAATGCCCTGATTGACCTGATTTCATATATATGCTGAAATAAAGAGTTTTTATGCACATTCACAATATTATTTTTATTGGAAATGATGAATATTATCATTTTCTTTAAGAACCATGAAGAAAATGCAGAATCAAAATATTTTTGTTTGTTTTATTTGACTTAGAAATTTGACAGGGGTATAATGTCCTGATTTTGGGGTATAATGACCTGATAACCTGATAGTATAAAAACTTCTAATAAACACAATTTAAGATTATTTAAATATTAATATTTGATAAAATATCTTTTAAGAGTGATATATGAAGTTACTTTAATTAAGTCTGGGTGAAAATGTGTTTTATATATTGCCCGAAATCACTTTTGAAGTTTGTAAGGGGTATAATGTCCTGATTTCTGAATGCCCTGATTGACCTGATTTACGTGTAAATATAGACATAGTGATAAAAATGCATATTATCAACTTAAATATAACATTTTATTGAGGGAATTATTGATTACATATGGTGATTCAATACTTAGTCTAGTATTACGTACACTTTTTATTATTAAGAATTTCAGTAGTCAAGAAAAGGTAATGACCTACACTGTAGCTGATATTTTGAAATGACCAATTTGAGACTCATCTGATGGCCTGATATTTTGGAATGTCTTGATTGTTTATTACAGGGTCCGACACTCGTCAAAATTTGGTCTCGCCATTCGGGCAACCTTGGTATGATCACAGGTCGCCCGAATGAATTTCAGGTCGTCCAAATAAAATATCAATTGAAACAAAACTTAATGTGAAAATCGTTTAACATTTGTTATGATAATTAATAGAAGTTGTGGGTTTGTATTAAAAAATGTAAACCATACATTTTTGGAATGTAAAGATGTCTTCTGGTATTTTATCAAACAAAAATATAAGCAGAATCAGACATGCTAGAATGCTAAAATTTGTAGCTTAAAATATTTATTTTCACTTGCCATTAAGGCCTAAATAAATAGGGTCAAATAACCCTGGACTGAATTAATCAGGTGTTATATTACAGTGGACACCCGACATGGCTGTCTAGCAGCAGAAAACGATCATTATGATCGGAAAGTTGTAGGGGAATTATGCAAGATGTTACAATGAAGATTATTTATACTATTTATATTTAAGGTGATCGTTGACTAAGTTGACATATTTTATATCTCAAATAAAACTTTATTAAAGACTTTCAGTAAAAATTGCATCAGCTGATTGACGCAGGTTTGGCAGGGAAAAAAAATCTACTCGGCTGCAATTTGAACATGTTGAATGGGTTTATTGGTTTTGTCACAGGAAAATATGTTTTGAAGGTCTTATGAAGTTTAGTTTAAAATATTAAACATCATTATTAGGCCTAAATATTCCCAACTTGTCCCAGGTCGTCATTTGGGCGAGCCAAACTGAAAATCAGGTCGTCCGAAATCATTTCAGGGTGGAAATGACGAGGTGACGAGCGCGAATGTCGAACCCTGTTATTATCTACATAATCTTGAGAAAATCTCAGTTGTTGCTTTTGAAAATAATTATTAATCTCAATTTCATTTTCCATACATGATCCCATTGTATATATATATTACAAAAAAATATGTTCAATTCCATACATCTGAAATCCAGTGATACAATATATTTCGAAGAAAAAAAATCAAATGGTGTTATTTGTTTTCAAAACATTATCATTTTTAATTTGTTCATTAAACAACCTTATTTGTAATTTAGCACCTAAATATTTGCAACAATTTAAGAAGAAATTTATTTTGAAATGGCCTTATATATAATTTCTAATGTTTTACCATACTTCAATATCAATCCACCAGATATAGCAGAAATAGTGGTTCTAAAAAAAAAATGAAAAAAATCTTGCATGCAGCTATTTAATTTAATTTATTGTATTTAGACAGATATTTTAAAAAGTTTTCGCTTTTTTAAGGGTCATGACCCAAAATATAACTTTATTTCTTTAATTTATACGAATTAATTAAAACAAAGTATATTATTTAGTATTTTAAAGCCATATATGGCGTAACTGATCAAAAAAATATATTTTTGAAATATTCAAAATTAAGTAAAGAAATATAGTTAATACATTTAAATTAAAACTTTTCATAAAATTCTGAACTTGGAGAACACCTCGTTTCAACTAATAATACGATTTTATCTTCTCTGTAATGTGTTATTTAAATCTTTTGTAGTTTCTTCCGAGTGGGAGAAAAATCCGAGAATCCAAATTAAATTGTGACATCTTTATAACGCAATTGACTTAGATTTTATAATTTAGGGAAAAGTTCTATCTTTATATAAAGTAATCATACAAATAATAAGTTCTTATAATTTTAGTCTAATAATTTTCATTGTACATACGCCATATATGGCTTTAAAGAAATAATTTATTTTTTATATATATAATTTCAAGTTCAGCATAGGAAATGCTACGTTTAGAAAGAAATGAACTTAAAATTGTGAATGCATAATTACACATACTGAATTAAGCTTTGTATTAAATATTTTTCATTTTTTTCTCAAATAAACAAATTAACAATATTTCAATAAATATGCCTTAGAGAAATCTTAATTAATTTTTTCAAAAAGTTTATTAGATTGTTTTATTTGTAATACATAGTTTTGAGACAAAAAAAAAAATCATTTTATAAGTATATGAAATCAAATGTTTAATTATTTAACAATTTTGTCGTTTTTGAAATATGTTATAGTTATAGATTCTGTCAGGTTTGTTTATGCAATCAGCAGAACATTGTTGACTGGGATTACACAGGTGTTAATTACAGAAGCCATAATGGGGAGGTAGTAAAGGGGGATATGTGGTGTATGTCCCTTTGACACTATCAAACATAATAAACAAGCAATGATATGTACACAAACAGTGTACATAATATTTTTTTTAATTGATCAATTTATTTTGTTGTACAGTCTGAACCTTGCTGTAGAATTACAGCTATTTAAAAATTGTCATATACCCTTCAATTTTTATTTATCCAACTTAAAATTATATTGTCCACAGACGTACTTTGATGTTTTATTGAAAAAAAAATAGAAAGTTGTCCATAAACATGTGAATGCTCGTAACTGTTAAAACAACAAACGAATAAAAATCATAAATTACAACCTATCTTTAACCAAAATCTTAAAATCTTTAGTTACTTCAAGGCTTATCTAAAATATCTGCATTTTCCCTACTGACTTTTGAACGTTAATCAAAAAATACTATTTTGGCTATACTGCGGCCAGTATATCAAATTATCATAGTTCTTAAAAATTATCTCTTATAATTTTCTCTAAAACAATCATAAGTTTCTTCAAAGATTTTGCATTATGTTATTGCATAGATAAATCTTAGATTTGCACAAAATACTGGCTTAGAGTACGTGCTACAATAAAATGTATATATATCAAGTGTATCAACTTTAAAATTATCAACATAATTAAGAAAATAAAATTTAAAAAAAATGAATGAAAAGCATTTTAATTTCCATTCATTTTAAAGAATAAGTTTAGACACAGGTGTTAAAATCAGGTCATAAGCAAAAATCAGGGCATTAAAAAAATCAGGACATTATACCCCTGCTAACTCCAAAAGTGCTTTTTGAGCTAGACATAAAAGATATTTTCCTAAAATCTTTTTTCTAAAACACTTATTTATTCTACTGAAAACAATTTAGATTGAAAAATTAAACAAATTCAATGATAATATGCTTTTTATTAGAAGTTTCATATTATCAGGACATCAGGTCATTATACCTCAAAATCAGGACATTATACCCCTGTTGATTTTCTCTTTCAAATAAACAAAATAAAAACATATTTTTAAAATTTTTCTTTGGTGAATTTTATAGACAATTAGTATCCAAATCATAATCAGTTAAAAGAAACTTGTTTGGGCACTTTACTACTTCATATTTTAGAATTAAATGAAATCAGGTCAATCAGGGCATTATACTATCAGGGCATTATACCTTCCCATATGCCCTCCCTTCTTCGACAGGGGGCATAACAATAGAAGTATCTGCACCTGAATCGCACTGTTAACATATTAACGAAAATGTTGAAAATAAATAATCTGTCCTCAGCTGGATAGGAAATAAATAATCTGTCCCCCTCCTCCCCCACTAGTTAGAGTTTTGGTTTTGTTTTCTTTTTTTGTTTTCTTTGCTTTTCAGCATGTTCAGACTTATTGAAGTGAAGCAGAAAATAAATGATCTGTCCTTCACCGACATGAAAATAAATAATCTGACTCGAAAAAATTGCCAGCCCCCCCCCCCTCCCCCGAATCAAATGGTCGTCCCCTTATCATGCTTAATTTAGAAAAATGTACTTTTCAATGAAACTCGCTTAGCCATAGATTTCTCGCCATTTTAGATCGTTTTCGTAAGTTTTTTTTTTTAATCTTCTTTTCAACATCTTTTCACAAGTTTTCATGTGAATTACAAATGAAAAAATACCTCAGTCGGTGGCATTCTATCAATCTATGTAAATGTGTGATTCGGGGTAGTTCTACTTTACAAACCGGAAATTCGCTCTTTTATATTGAAAAGTCTAGAAAGTACTATGAATATTAGATAAGTCGGTCATTAACTCTGAAGTGGTTCGAGACACAGTTTTTCTTAACCCTGTGTGGTTATGTAAAATCATCATATTTAGTAGGTCACATTAATTGAAAGTCAGAGATATTAAAATATTGTTTCGTTGTAAAAGTGATTTCCAGAGAAACAGTAGTGAACAGTAAGTATCAAACTTAAAAATTGTATGTATGCAATGTTTACATCCTAACTCATTCACCTGTTCACTGATCATGTTTGGTTTGCGTGTATTGTTTTTTTTTTTAAAGGTTCATTTAATTATGATATCTCTTCCAACAAAAGTAAATTATGATCTAAGCTTGATTTTAAAAAAAAAAAGCAGAATAAAAGCAATAAATAAATAGATCAAATAAAAAAAATTCCCAATTTATAGAAAATAATTTAAGGATATCCAATTATCAGCTTAGGAGGATAACTCTTAATTTACAATTTAATTGAAAAGACTTTTAAATGAAGTTTGAAATTGAAATATTTAATGCAATTATGTTTCATTTTATGTCTCAATCTTAAATATGATTCATTAATAGCTAGGTTCTTAGATGTTCGTAGAAATGATCTGTTGTGAAAAGTTGATATTTGTACCTCATTACATTAGAGTAAGTGAAATATACATTTAGCTGAAGGCTCACCTCTTTCAAGGGAAGATAATTTTAGGAATTATATTATAGTGAAAAATTCTTTTAAGGGGGCCAACTATAGTTTCCATTGTGCAATATTTCGAGCATCATAGTAAAATGAAGCGTATTTACTGTTTTAATGCAACTTTTTTTGCTTAATTATTAAAATTAAACAAAATTAAGAAATTATAGGTATAAAAATTTAATTACAATTTGATATAACTGATTTTTTAACCAATTTTGCAATTGATAGGTAGGTTGACGTCGTTAGAGTCTGTTTTTGACGTTATGATAATTTGTAGCTCTTAAAGAAAGGGGTAATAAAAATATTATTAAAGAAAAAATAATAAACATACGCTCTTGAAATTTAAAACACAGAAATTTGAGAAGATCTCCAATATTTTTACTATGTTTTCATGTGAATCCATTGTGTATGTCATATTTTGTAATACTCTATAAAAATAGTAAAATTTGCTAATTTTTTGCATTTTGAAATGCCCCCTCTGGTAACAAGACGGTAGAATTTTGTGTTTCTCGCATATATTGTATGATATAGTATTACTCATCAAATGTTACAGTTTGAACAAAATGTCTACTGTAGTATTTGTATAATTTGCTTTAAAGTGCTAAAAATTGGCATTTTCCTATATAATCCTATAGTAAATGTACCTGTATTTTGAGATGGTCCCTCAAAAATACCTGGATGGTAGATTTCCCCAAAACTTTGCATGTACACTGAAGTTAATGTAAGTTATATATGGTATAAAAATGAAGAGTTTCGCTATTGTAGTTTTCACACAATAAAACTATAGTCGGCCCCCTTAAAAATCATCTTCTTAAGAACCACTGGGCCAGGAAAAATGAAACTTATATGCAAGCATCCTCAGGTAGTGTAGATTCAAGTTTGTTCAAATCCTAACCCCCATGGGTTGGATGGGGCCACAATGGACAATCAAATTTTACATAGGAATATATAGGAAACATCTTTAAAAATCTTTTTCTCAAGAACCACTGAGCCAGGAAAGATGAAACTAATGTGAAATCATTCTCAGGTGGTGTAGTTTCAAGTTTAATCAAATCACAACCCCCGGGGTGGGTGGGTGTGGCCACAATGGACATTAAGAACTTGACCCCTGGGGGTAGGGTCGGCCCATGTGGGGGATCAAAGTTTTACATAGAAATGTATAGGAAAATATTGTTAAAAATCTTCTCAAGAACAGCAAAGACATAATTGATCATATTTATATGGAAGCATCCTCAGTTAGTGTAGAATCAAGTTTGTTCACTTCATGACCCATGGAGTAGGGTGGGGACACAATGAACGATAATTAAAGTTTAACATAGGAATACATGGGAAAATTTTTTAAAAGTCTTCTTTTTAAGAACAGCAAAGCCATGATTGGTCATATTTATATGGAAGCATCCTCAGGTGGTGTAGATTCAAGTTTGTCCCAAAACATTACCCCTGGGGTAGAGTGGGGCCACAGAGGGGGATAAAATTTTTCCATAGACTTTAATAGGAAAATAATATTTAAAATCTACTACTCAAGAACAACAAAGCCATGATAGTTCATATTCATATGGATTCTGAGGCATCCTCAGTTTGTGAAGATTCAAATTTGTTTGAATTATGACCCCTAGGGTAGGTGGGCGCACAATGGATGATCAAAGTTTAACATACATGTAGGAATACATCCAAAAATTCTTTTAAGTCTTTTTTTTCTAAAGAACAGCAAAGCTATGATTGGTCATATCTTAATGAAACCATCCTCAGGTAGTGTTGATTCAACAATTCATGACCCCGGGGTGCAGAGTGGGCCACAGTATGGTAGATCAATGTTTTACATAGGAATATGTTGGAAAAAATCTTTTTTTCAAGAACAGAAAAGCCATGATTAGACATATTGATATGGAAGCATTCTCAGGTAGTGTAAAATAAAAATTTTAAAAGATGGCCCACAGAGGTAGTGCTGGGCCACAATAGGGTCCAATTTTTGCAAATGATTATTTTACCCTGGTAAATAGGAAAAAAATCAACTGCAGTAAAGAACAGCAAAGTCATTTGTTATATGGAAGCATCATCAGGTAATTTAAATTTCAACAACAACCCCCCCCCCCCCCCCCATTCCATGTAAACTATTCAATACTAAACTGATTTTTGCTTTATTCCTAGCAAATGTGCTCGGGTGAGCGATGTGGGCCACATCGCCGATGTGGCCCATGGGCCTCTTGTTTTAGAATTGCTACACCTGCTATAAGTACATGTAATAGTAAAACTTTTACTTTATCAAGGTAACTCTTTCAGAATACATTGACTCTAAAATGCTTTGAAATTTTGGTGAATGATACTGTCATGGTGCAAGTAGGTCTAGCTATATAGAAATCAGTAAATGCTAATCTGTAAGTATTAAGTTTACTACTGCAGCAGTTTTTTGGTATAAAATAGTTCAGTGAACTTAGACAACAGCAGCTAGCTTATACAGTGTACCTGAATTTGTGTATGGATTTTTAATTTCACTTTTAAACAGTCTTGCCATGGGTACTTTAGATAAAACTAGAGGTACTGTGAGCAATGAGCTCACTAAATGATACCCCCCACCTCCCATATGAATATATTGGCAGTATCCATGTTTTGCTCTGGAAAATCCAAAATATATGTCAGATCAAAAAGTAAAATAGGAGGTGCACAATGGCAATATGTAATAAAGATTCTGTGAAAGTTTCATTAAATTTGCTTCAGTGGTATGAGAGGAGTTGCGGATAAGAGATGGGTACCCCAAAGCGTAACAGACGGACGGACGGACAGACGGAAGGACGGACGGACAGACGGACGGACAGACGTACAGACGGACGGAAATACCGATTACTATATACCCTCCCGCTTTTCAAGCGGGGGGTATAATAATCAAAGGTGCAACTTCTACTGTTTCAGTAAACCTTGGTACAGATTGTCTATATCTTAATTGTTGTTCCCTAAATGTTTCTCACTGCATATCATTTCCAGAAATCTGCTTAACATTTCTGACATTTTTTTTATTTCATTTACGACTTTTTTAAATTTCATTTCTGACATACTTTTTTTTCTTTTCCAGAATTTACCTGTGCAGCAATTTAAAGTTTTCAAAGTAAGTGAAAATGAAATTTTAAAAGTATTTATTGCAAAATGTTGATGAAAAATATTTAAAAAATCTGTCTATGCATATGCTCCTTAGTTATTACCATAGGCCTTTAGAGAAAAAAACTGAGGTGTAAAAAAAAAAATCTCTGTATACACACACAATTTTTTGAAGCGATCTAAAGGCCTGTGGTTATCACCAACCCATCTTTATCCATTGTAATACCAGTATATTAATTTCATTTTTAAATTTCCCTGTACTACATGTGTACATGACGTTCCCATTCTTTAAAATATAATTTTCTACTGATAAAGTATCCCCTCTAAGATATATGCTGAAAGGAAAAATAAACTCAGGGTATACTTTTGAGATGAATTAAATTTATTTTTCTTTTTATTATTTTCAGTATTCTTAGCTAACTTTTAAAATCATCTTTAAAGAAAATGTAACCAAAATTTCATTTGATTTTGTCTTATAATTCATGAGTTATTAAAACTGATATGACGATACCCTCAAGACACAGGGGCCGGTAACATACTGCATTTGTGATTTGACGTGATCACTATATGTATACATATAGTGATTACGTAAAATCAAATACAGTATTTTACCCTCAAGAAGTGAAAATCAAAAACTCTCATTGTCTTCAATGTCTCCCCTGAGCATCTGTCACAGCCTTGATTCTCTTTTGCATAGAATTCATCAGAATATTTATCTTTTAAACCCTGGTTATACTGCGCATGGTAACCATGCCGAAAAATTAGTCAAACGATGTGCGCTTGCGCCAGTGAGAGGAGCACAAACGTGAAGTTGACTAACTTAAAAACCCAAATTGCGCAATTGGTTTCTTTCAATTTTGCGTTGAATTAATGATTATGATAGTCTACTGTATTTACAGTGGTTTTCTGTGGTAGTATGGCAGCGATTAAACAGGTGGCAGCAAGAATAAACCGATCATAACCTGACTCTGCTTCGTGTTAACGTCATAGTCACAGTTTGTTGAAAACCATTCCAGGCCCTCTCTGAAGACGAGTAACACTTTCTATGGGGGAAAATTTGCAAGAAACTGCTCAGTTACCCGCTGCTGCTTTTGTCCTTACTTAGGCAATTCGAAATTCAGACCGTATGGACTTTCCGTAAACTGTACCAAGATTGCAAGAAATTCATATCATCTGTAAATATTGAAAAACATTGTGTATACCTCAGATGCATCAAATGGCACAAAAACATTTGTTGATAAACTCGTCATCATCAATTTGCACATGTTTTGGGCTTTTTAGCGTTTTTCCTATGGATGTCATACATTTTACGGTTGAGTAATTCTGAACACTGATTTTGGTGCATAGTTACTAACATTCTCATCTGACCAATTTTCGTTAATATTCGGTCATGAGGTTAAAAAAATTTCGAATATTATGCTACCCTGCAGTTCTTTTTCCTTTCAGTATTTATGGCTTTTTACCTCGACTTGTTTCTGTATGTATTATTATGATATTATCACTTCCATCTTAGCTTATTTGATTTCAAAATTACCGTAATACTGAACATTTGAAAAGGAGATGAGCGAAAGCTCTAGTACTAAAGATACTATCTGAAAAATGTCGGAAAAGAAAACAAAAAATGTCGGGAATGAAAAATTTTTAAAAAAAATTCCAAAAATGAAATGTTTAAAGCAGATAAGACTTTGGACAAATGTCAAGATAATCAATTGCAGGGTTTAATTTATCCATTTGGTACAGGATATATGTTTCAGCAGGGATTTAGGGGGGGGGGGGGGGTTTAGTTTGAAAAAATAAAAATGATTGACATATTTATCATGTTTATGACTTGTATGTTGATTTATTATAACATGATTAAAGTGAGGGAAATATATGAAGAATTTTGCAGCCAAGTAAAATGTAATTCCCTGAAGGCTCTGCCTTAAAACATTAAACTTCATGTTTCACAGTTTGTTGAATGCAATTATAGTAACTCTACTCAGATCAACTCAATAAACCGAAGGACTGACTTCTGAACTTACTCCATAGTTTTATTCAAGGGCATTCAAAACTGCATGATCTTGTCTATGTTACCGTATATACTCACATATAAGTCGGTTGTATTTTTTAATGTTATCTTGGATGGATTTGCCATTGACCCGCTTATAAGTCGGTACAATATTTTATGCCAAAAATGGGTGACAATTTCAAGTAAATCCATTGATGTTTTAACCTGGTGTCAATTAATATTTTTCAAAATGACACGGATATTTAATCTTGAATAATTAAACAAATAAGTAATGTTCACTTAAGATTCAAATAAAATGATTAAAATATGTAAATAAGTGTACTTTATGTATAATCTAAGAATACATAAATTGTCATACTGGTATATATCATTTCAGTGTCCAAAAATTACCAATGTCTTCATGACATGCCTAAAATGTGGACATAAAGTTTAAGACCAAAATTTAACTACCAACAAATGGACTTATAGGCGAGTATATACAGCAAATAAATAAACAAAGGGAATGAAAGAGTAGAAAGTTTCAGAGAACAATAAACGGGATACATTGTATGAAGCGCTTCAATCCCAAAGGTCATGTATTCAAATGACCATCATTGTAACAATTGTATCCTTATAACTAGTATATTGTTTGAGATATATATAATTATACTTTTATAGACACATAGGATGGATTGTATTTGATTTATCAAAGGTCTCCAGGAAGATTAAGTATGTACAATGTATTACATTGTATATATTATTATAATCAAGTATGAATCTCTTCTTGTTTATGTAGCCATTAATATATACAAGGGAGATAAAGAATTGAAAATTTGAATTGAAAAAAATGTATATTATTATACTGATTCTGTTGTAGAATATATACTTTATTTTTCAGTAAAATGGAGAGCTTTGTAAGTAAGGGATTTACTTCCCCTTCTCACACCAAAGTCATTCAACCAGAACTGTGTTCAATGAAAAGCGAGTCTTTTTATCTGAATCAGGAACTCAAAAAGGTAAAAAAAAAAAAAATAAAAATAAAAAAGACATATGTGTTTATAAAATTTTAATCAAACCAACATTTAAGGGCTCCAGACCAAGAGATCATCTATGATTTCTAGCCCTCTTCCGTTAGATATGAGGATCCAGTTATTACGTGTGCACACTACTGCTGTAACCACAAAATAAGCGCAACATGAATGGTGCCGGAGCTATAGATGGTTGTAAGCAAGATGATGCTTGTAATTTCAAGTCAATGCATTGGTATCTTACCTCTGAAACACACAATTTATGTACTGTATTAAGGACCATTTTTGTTTCAGAGGGGTATCACCAACACAGAAGTGGCAGATCCTCCTATAAATTGTGAGATAGCTTACAGAACACTTCTCACTTCTGAGGCTGTGGAATTTCTGTCAGAACTCTGCCAGGAGTTTGACAAAGAAGTGACTCAGGTAAGACAAGTTTTACTGTATACTGTATGAAAACCAAAGCCAAAATGGTGTCAAATTTATACAGGTCGAACAAAATTTAATTCAAAAAAGATAATCATAAAAGATTGCAACTTTTTATTGACATACTTTGTAAATGGTTATTTTCATGACACACATTTTTACAATTGAATAATTCTTTTTTTTTCATCTATATGATCTGAAGATGCTACAAGCCCGGGAACAAAGGAAACTGGAATTGAAACAAACAGGTAGTCTTCCTGACTTTGATCCTAAAACTGCAAATATACGAGAGTCTAGTTGGACGGTTTCACCAGTTCCCAGAAGGCTTCAGTGTCGTCATGTAGACCTTGGTGATGTGTCTCCTAGCAACAGAGCCCATTTTGTTGCTGCACTGAAATCTGCAGCACAAGGAATTCAGGTTAAAACAAATATAAAGTTTTTATTTTTAGTTATGTTTTAGCTAATCTTTTAAATATTATATTTTTTTTAATTTATGCCTTATATGAAATAAAATACGCTATACTCCTATTGGTGTGGTCCTATAGGTATACTGTATAAAGTCTTTTTTTATTTTAGATTTTTCTGCTGTTTTTAAGGGTGAATACATTCATGAAAAGTAAAATTAAGTTAAAAAACACTGTCTTTACTAAAGAGTAATGAAAGAAAAATGTGACATTAAGATATGACTGAAATCAATTCTGTATTCAATAATGAAATTATTTTATCATTATTCTGATTTTCTTAAGAACTTTATTCTGATTTTCTTAAGAACTCATTTAAGAAGATTTTTTTCTGATGGTAGAGATTTAACTGTACAATTTAATATTTAATTGATAATTGTAACAATATTTGTTGAAGTAAGCATAGACGACTCAGTATCACATCACGACTAAGTGGAAGTATCACAACATATAACTAATAACTTCTCCAATGTTTGTATGATGAGAATGTTAATTATTAAGTAAAAAACAACAATATGGGGATTAAATTAGCCACCTTAGACAACTGTGTCCTTGGGACAGGAACCACAATATGAATGGTGAAAGTAATGCTTATCATGTTATTTCTTCTGATAAGACATCATTTTTACACCAAACTCCTGTGGCAAGATGACGTGACTATTCACACTTGTGGACATATTTAGGGATGTTGATTTTAAACAGTATGATGGGTATTGTTAGATTGTCATTGGATTCTTGACACACAATGACCATCTTACAAAACCACAACATACCTATGTGGTTACATTCCACCATCTATGCTGCTACAAAACCACAAAATGTCTGTGTGGTAATGATCCACAATCTAAGCTGCCACAAACCCACAAAATATCTATGTGGTAACATTCCACCATCTAAGCTGCCACATGACATAAGACACTTATTAATTACTGGACTCTTTGGAGGAATACCAATATGAACATGTATGTTTTAAAGAGTTTCCTTCAAGGTATGATTAGTAAATGTTGATTTAAGCTCAGAGTTTGGTTAATCTTTCTGGCTGTAAAATTTTAAATAATAATAAATCAGACTAAGAATATATAAGGATGATGAAACACCACACACATGGTTTTTATATGTATCCAGTTCATCAAATGCACAACACAACATAGTCAGTACCTGCTGCAGTATAAAAGTGCATTATTAAGAATTATTCATTTTCTGTTATCACTGCAAATTGCAGAGCAAATCCTTACTTGAAATCTATAAAAATCAAAATATATACAGATATATATTCTGATATCATTATATGTAAATTTACTGATTCTTAGCAACTAACAAAATTTTTTCCTTTTATCGTAAGTAAAACAGAATGACAACAAGATAGTTGATAATGAATTCACTCTACCTTCAGAAGTTTGAGATACAGTCAAACCATGTTATTCCAAACTGGATAAAACTTCAAGTTATCTGAGAAATCAAATATTTGAGGTTAAAATACATAAAGAAAAGTTGGTTTGGATATTCAACTCTATTCAAGCTATCCAAAGTATACAAGATAATAATGATTCGAGATACCCAGTATTAAATAAATACATATTTATTAAATATTCATTATCCATATTTAATTAAGCATTGTTTTATAAAATAGTTTACATTTTTGAGTGGCTTAAAATAAAATAAAGGATTCAAAAAGTTGAAACATTTGGAAAATATAAGAATTTATGCACTTTGATGTATAAAATTTTTGGCCATTTGGGTATCATATGAAATACTTTAAAGAATTAGCATTACTTTTTTGTGACCAGATATTTACTAAGTTTTTACTATAGTTGCACGTAAAATACATAAACAATGAAAATATTTATTATGATACCTATCAAATAAAAGTCTCATATTTTGAAAAAAAATTTAGAACAATTTGAAATTTCTAGAAATTTAAAGTATATATCTAGTACGAAACCTTATTTTCTTGTCAACATTACTGTTTGAAATTAAATATATGATAAAGTTAACAGTTACTTTTAATCAGGTATTTGTTAAAGACAGATGCTGTTCTATTCCCGTATAAAACTATCTCATTACAAGATGAACACTAGACAAGATTAAAAAAGCATTTTACATCTTACATGCTGCATTTATGATTTTTTAGAGATTAACCCCCCTCCCCCTAAATAAAAACATTAAAAAATTCTGAGAGGGAAAAACATACCTGAAGGTGGCTGGGTTCACATTAAGTTTATTCTTCAAGAAATCATCAATTTATATTCATTTGATTACATAAAAGTTTCCATAGAAACTGTTTTTATTATTTAAATGTAGAGTCCTAATTGTCACCTGATGTACTTGTTGATTGCATACAGGTGTGTTAAATGTCAGTTGTCTGTAAGTCTAACAGTTTGTGTGGGCTCCCACTGAGAACAGGGGCTGTAACTCTACAGTGTCAAAGACCACCATCCACACCCAATAATAAGACATCTTAGCATTTTAGTAGAATGTCATCAATTATCAGCATTAACAAAGTTATCATGTAAGGGTTTCGTAGACAACAGTTTTTTTGTTGAGGACTACTTTTTTGCTGTAAATGTCAAGATAGTGGTAAAATCATAGTTTAAGTTAGTTTTAGTCCGTATAGTCATCACTCAGAATTATGAAAAAAGATTGAATCCTTAAAATGAGGGTAATACAAACTTCAGAAACTTGCGCGCATGTAAATTGAAAGCGCGCACCAACACAATATCTACATATGACTTGAAATTAATAACTTTTACATTTTTCTGTAATGCTTTGATATTTAAATATATGAAAGTGAGATGACATTTTTAACATGAATTTTGTGTGCACGTGCTTGCAAGAGCGCGCAAGCTCGTGAAATGACCGATTTAATTGATATGTAAAGACCTTTTTAATGAAATGCTTTGAGACCAATATATAAGGGTATAGTAGTAGCATAGACAATATGACATGGTCAAAATAGCAAATCTCACGCGCATGCACGTGCGACGTAAACATGATAAATCTTGTTTTTTAACATGCCTTTGAAATTTTGTTAGCCATGCATTAGGAAATTTATATATAATATCACAATTAAGCTGCAATTTTTTAAAACTTTAATGATAACTCCCTTGGGTTTCAATCAAACAGGATGGGACTTGAACATAGATAGATATAATAGACTTCTACAAGAAGGTAATAGTGCACATTAATAACGTGCGTTTAAGTGCGAAAAACATTGGCTGAAACTTTCAAATTTAATTAGTTTTCAACCAAACAGGATGAGATTTGGAACACAGCAATGATATAATGGACTGTGTTACAAGAAGGTATGGTCACCATGCACATCCATACACGTGCGTGAACGTATGTTTGCAATCTGATTGGCTAAAATTTTATCAGCTATAACTCCCTTGGTTTTACCAAGGATATTTGATAGATGTAATTTTTACAAGAAGGTATGCCACCATGCTAAATTGCACGTGAAAAGTAAAATCAAAAATACACTTCAATGAGCGTATGTTTTAAATTTAAATACTTTAATATTTAGTATATTACAGTATATAGATTGTGCAGACAAAACGATATGGTCATTACGCACATGCATTCACATGCGCACGCGTGCAATGCTAAAATTTGAATGAACTTGGTACCCTTCTGGGTAAACGTTGAAGTCTAAATGCATAAAGTTTGTCTTATTTAATGAAGCTTACAGGGAATATGGCACAAAAAGGGAGATGAATATGGCCGGGGCATATAATGTACAATTAGCACTAGTTTAAGTTAGTTTGAGTCCGTATAGTCATTACTCAGAATTATGAAAAAAGATTGACTCCTTAAAATGAGGATAATACAAACTTCAGAAACTTTAAGATGTAAATTGAAATGCTACCTACACAATATCTACATGACTTAATACTATTCAGTATACATTAAAAATGAAAGTGTGTGCATTTTTAAAGAATTCCTCTATAAAGTTCTTTGAAGATAATTTTGTAAAGAACTATCTATAATTAGAACCAATGTATGAGTCTCATGATCATACTTGAGGCTAACTTGAGATGACGTAAACATGATAAATCTTGTTCTAACATGCCATTTGTTTAGATAGGAAATTTAGTTAATATCACAATTAAGGAATTTTTTAAAAATTTAATGATTGTTATTGGTGTTTCAATCACACAGACTTGTCACGTAAAATCGCAAATCAGCAATAGTGTTAATAACATTTTCAAGACGAAAAACATTCCTTAATTTCAAATTTAATTGTCTTAGTAAAAGAAAAACACAGCAATGTAAATATTGACTTGTGTTAAAAAAATAGTCATCAGCCTGCCGATGTTTACATTAAACTATTTTACAACTTGCAGTCATTTATCAAGGATAATTGTCTTATTTTTAAACTACATTGTAAATATTTAACTGAAGAAAACCCAAGTAATACTGTTACAGTACAACATTGGTTGGAACAGCTACATGTAGTTTATGGTTTTTTTAGAGCAAACTGCCCAGACTCAGGTTATGAACAACATGGAACCTTGTGACATTTATTTTTATGCCCCACCATGAATATGGCAGGGACATACATGTATAGTGTTTGTCGTGTCCGTCTTCCGTCCTTCGGTCTTTCTTTCTAGCTGTCCTTCCGTCACACTTTGCATTTAACTGACAGTTCAAAGCTCAGTTTCAAAGAAACTATCTAAGATATTTCATCAAACTTTATAGGGTGATAGATATTGATGAGAGCTATGCAACAGCCTCATCATTTTTTTTACCTTGACCTTTCTTTTGACATTGACCTCACTTTTCTTAAATGGGTGTTTAGCTCAGTTTTAAAGATACCATTCAAGATAGTGTTATCAAAATTCATAGGCTGATACATACTGATGAGAGCTATTCAACTGCATCAATATTTTTGGCCTTGACCTTTCCTTCGGCCTTGACTTTACTTTTCTTAAATGAATGTTTAGCTCAGTTTTAAAGACACCATTCAAGATATTTTTTATCATACGTCATATGTTGATACATATTGATGTAAGCAATTCATCTACTTCAACATTTTTGACTTTGACCTCACTTTTATCAAATTTTGATTTACTCAGTATTAAAGAAACCATATTTTTTTTCAACTTCATATGCTGATACACACTGATAAGAGCTTTTCAACTGCATAAACATTTTTTTTACCTTGGCCTTACCTTTGACCTTGACCTCACTTTAAATTAGTGTTAAACTTCATATGCTGATACATACTGATGTAAGCAATTCAACTGCATCACTATTCAAGATACTCTGAAATTTCATACACAAATTCAAATTTTCATGTGGCATTACTGACATGCCCTCGGCAGGGCATTCATTCTATGGACATATTTCTAGTTAGCTTTATAGATAGATTTAATAGTATTCACAAGGTCACACCAATTAAATTTCTTGTTCATCAGACATATGATGAGAAAAAGAAGACAAGGCAGAGGGTTTAAAAGATAATATTACTTATAACTACTTTTTTGAAAGCAAACGTTTAAGGCAGAACATGAAAAAATTAAAATTTGAGCGCACAATTATTTATTTTCTGTTTTTCTGATTTTTAGAGTAACCTGATTTAAAATATGAAAAATAGAGTGGAAACAAAAAGGAAATTCACATAGAATTTTTGGGTTAAGAAAATTTATATTAATTTTTTTGTAGTTTTGTTCTTATAAGAGTGTGTGGGTTTTAATGAGCAAAAAATTAAATTTGTGTGGCCCAAAGTAAAAATGTAGTTTTGCCGCTGCTTCTTTTACACCTTTTTCATTGAAATCTTTAATGATTTGATTTTATACTGGTGGACAAATGGTTCAGAGGAGTTAAAGTTTGAAATCTGAGGGTTGATATTTTACTGCATAATGAAATATTTCACAAAGTATCATTAACAAAATAATGTCAATTTTCCAGACGGATTTTGACGACGGACATTGTCCCACTTGGGCCAATCAGCTTCAAGGTCTCTACAATGTATACAGAGCGGTACACAACACTCTGCCAGGTATAGTCCAACAGCATCATCATCACTAAGAGAATACAGACTGGATTTAAAGCTGAACATGATCATCATCACTTACATAATACAGATTGGACATAAAGTTGAACATGAGTCATAAAAGGAATTTGTCCGTGATATTTGATTGGTTTCTCCCTATATCTGAGGGGCCCCATATAAAGCTGCTCATATTATCACTGTTCAGTGTAATCAGTCATCACTGGTGAAGACACACATATATACTACACAGCACTCGGTAGTGAAAAAATAGCTGCAAACTTCCTCTAATGCAGGAGAGCAAGATATACCAAAAAAACCTACAGCAGTTGCACAGGTCTGAGCAGTAAAAAAGATGCACAAATACATGTAACTGCAGTAAAATGTACGGTAAACAATAATAATTCAAGATAACCAGCACCAGCCCATTCCACGAACACATAAAGCAGTCAGGTGTAACAAATGCAAAAGGTGTACTGTAAACCAACTTTTACCTGTGACAAATAAGTTCACAGCCTCATCAGGTGTAGCAAATGTGAATGTGGTATAACCCCAAAGAGATTTGCTGAAAATTAATTGTTGCAGACTAGTAATATCAAAAATGGCATGTTCCTATTCCTTAGTCGTGTTCAGCTTTAATATTCCAATAAACACAAAATATTAATAAGAAAACTTTGTATTCTGGTTCATGTAGGGTACCCGACCATTTATTACTGTAATGGCCAACCATATTATAAATATAAATTCATATAATGTGCAGTTCTTGACGTGTTAATATTTTTGAACTGACAGGTGTACCAAACATCGAGGATGCTCCAGTTCTGATGCTGAGGCCCCGTGCCTGGAACATGGTGGAACACAACCTGATTGTATGTGCTAGAAAGTCAGAATGGGAGCATTTGTTGATCAAAGGGCAATAGAAAATCAAAATGGGAGATTTTTTTATCAAAGCACACTAGAAAATCAGAATGGGAGATTTGTTGATCGTGGTATTAGAAAGTCAGTACGCGGTCAAAATTTTCCACGGAAATTTGTCCAAGCATACTTAATATAAATGTAAGGTATATAGTGACAGTAGCTAGAAAGTCTGCATAATTTTTACAAAGCGGCAATAAAAAACAGAAATTGAGATTTATTGATCAATGATAGCTAGAAAGTCAGAGGGAAGATTTTTTTATCAAAGGGTACAGTATCAGAATGGGAGATTTGTTGATTACAAGGAGCAAGAATATCAGAATGGGAGATTTTTTTTTTAACAAAGGGCACTAAAAAATCAGAATGGGAGATTTTTTTATGCCCCGTAAATGAAGTTTCGGGGTATATAGTTTTTAGCTCACCTCAACAAAGTTGGGGGAGTTTATGTAATACCGTCGGCGTCCCAGGTTAAGGTTAATTTTTTTGTAGCAGTTTTCTTTTTAAGTACTTCTGTGTCCTGTATTGCTTAGACATGCAAGGAAGATGCTTCTAATGTGTTTAATTGTACCAGTCAAAGTTTCAGATGCTGCAATTTCAGCAAAGGAATGACCAGGTTAATGTTTTTGGAGCAGGTTAACATTTTTGGTGCAGTTTTTGGTATAGGTCTATTTCCAAGGAACTATAAGCCCTATGTTGACCAAACTTGCATGGATGGTACATCTAAGGATGCACAATACCAGGCTTGCTTCGGATGCTGAATCTGACCTACATTTTCCAGTTGAGTGAACAGGTTAACGTTTTTGGTACAGGTCTCATTTCCAAGTAACTATAAGCCCTATGTTGACCAATTTTGCATGGATGATATATCTAAGGATGCACAATACCAGACTTGCTTCAGATGCTGAATCTGACCTACATTTTCCGGTTGAGTGAACAGGTTAATTTTTTTTGGTGCAGGTCTCATTTCCAAGTAACTATAAGACCTATGTTGACTAAACTTGCATGGATGATACATCTAAGGATGCACATTATCAGGCTTGCTTCAGATGCTGAATCTGAGCTACATTTTCTGGTTGAGTGAACAGGTTAAAGTTTTGGGTGCAGGGTTCATTTCCAAGTTACAATGAGCCCTTTAATGACTAAACTTGCATGGATGATATATCTTAGGATGCATATTACCAGATTTGCTTCGGATGGATACCAAGAACTTTGACCCTTTGATCTTGGAGTTTGACCTACTTTTAAAAACCAAACCTTGACCGTAACTTTAAAAGGGTTAGGGCTAGTGCTTTCATACTTTACGTATTTAATCCTTGTGACAAGACCTTTCATTTGATAGCAAGACCTTTGACCTTGACCTTGGAGTTTGACCTTCTTTTAAAATTTTTAACCTTGTCCATAAGTTCTGAATGGTAAAGGCTAGGGCTTCCATACTTTACATATGTATTATATGTGACAAGACCATTCATTGGATACCAATTACCTTGATCTTTTGACCTTGACCTTGGAGATTTTTGTACTTATGAAAAAACTTTAATCTTGGCCATAACTTTTGAAAACTAAGGGATAGTAATATCATACTTCACTTATGTAATCCTTGTGAAAAGACCCTTCATTGGAGTTTGACCTACTTTTAAAAAAATTAACCTTGACCATTACCTGATTATGATTACCGTTTATCCAAGTAACTTTCTTTCGATGCATGCATTGTTTTAATATGAATGAAATGCATTAATATTCCATTTCTTTTATTAAAAAAATTGAATTAAAATTTAAAATTGTGCCACGTCCATGTGATTGCAACACCACACTAAATTTGACGAATGAATACTTATATACGGGAGTGCTATTGTGTTTCTGTGCTTGGCTAACTATAAAGTCAAATATGGAAGTGGATAAAAGAAACAATATCACATTACTATATTTTAATAACAAATGCAAGCGCTAAAATTTATTTGCGCCAATGCACTCCCACTTGCGTTCATGCTAAATTATATATGCGCCAAATTTTCTCGTTTTACAGTATGTATTTTTTATGGCAAGACCTTTCATTGGATATCAATGACCTTGACGATTTCCGTACTTATGAAAAACTTTAACCTTGGCCTACTTTCATATTTCACAATTGTATTTTCAGTGAGAATACCCTACTTTTGGTACCAATATACTAAATTTGCATTTAAGAAAAGTTTAATATTTGTTATGTTGCCATACGGGGGCATCAGTGTTTCACAAACACATCTTGTTTTTTATCAAAGGGCACTAAAATTTCAGAATTCGAGATTTGTTGATCAAAGGGCACTAGAAAATCAGAATGAGAGCATTTGTTGATGAAAGAACTCAATAGAGAAACAGATTTGATATGTATATTTTTTTTTAAATCATTGTTCAAGAGAGGAGGAGGGGGGAAATATGAGTTGATTTAGAGGTTCAGAAGAAGGAAATGGATTTATTGATTAACCATCAGTTCATTGAGAGAATTTGTTGCAAAAAGGACATAATTGACCATTTCAATCTTTAAAAAATTTTTTTACCTATATATTTTTTAGCCAGAAGAGAGAGAGAGAGAGAGAGAGAGAGAGAGAGAGAGAGACTAGTGGCTGGTTATTAACAAATAATTATGTTAAGGTTTTCCTTGTTTGAGATCACTATTTAATAGTTCTAACAGACATAAATTATTTTAGGTGAATGGTCGGGAAGTCTTAGGTCCACTGTTTGATTTTGGACTTCTTATGTTCCACAATGCCCATATTTTGTTGGAAAAGGAGTGTGGACCTTATTTCTACCTATCCAAAGTGAGTTTTTAATTTCCTCTACAATTAAGTATTTAAAAGCACGAGTTAAGGTGATAACAAACATCACTATTATTCTTATTGAAATATATTTAGCAACTTATTAGTTTCTACAGTAATATAACATTCTGAGTATTGTTTTACCATTCAGTCTTTAGAGACTTCATTCTCAGCCAATATTTTCATTAAAATGACTTTCATTGGGAGTTTTTGGAGTAGTTCTCATTCCCACAAAAAAAAGTCATACCTAGACCAAACTTGCAGGAATGATACATTTATGGATGCTAAAAAAAAAAAAAATTTTAATGCTAAATCTGACTAACAATTTCCAGATGAGTGAGCAGGTTTAAGTTTTGTATCAAGTTCAATCTCTTAGGTACCAATTACTTCTTTATATGCCCTATGGTGAACAAACTTACATGGATGATGCTTCTAGGGATGCACACAACCAGGCTTGTTTTGAACTACATTTTCTGGAGGAGTGATCAGGTTGAATACTTTGAATCAGGTTCATTCCCACATAAATACCCCGGTATAAGTCCTATGTGGTCCATACTTGCATTGATTATTAATGTATTGTAGGGAACAAAGCTGCTTTAAATTTTGAATACAAGCTACATTTTCTGATGTTACCTGAAGGTTACTGAAGAGGTATACTCCTAATACATGTAACTGAGATATTTACTTGAACCAAACTCGCATGTCTGATGCCTTTAGGGATGCATTCTACCTGGTTTTGCTTCAGAAAATAGGTATTAACCTGTACTTTTAGTTCATTTTGAGCTGAAGGCTCAAGTGAGCTATTGTGATCACATTTTGTCTGTCCATCTATCTGTCTGTCTATCCGTCCGTCTGTAAACTTTTCACATTTTCAACTTCTTCTCAAGAACCACTGGGCCAATTTTAACAAACTTGGTACAAAGCATCCTTGGGAAAAAGGGGAGTTTAAATTGTTAAAATAAAGGGACAAGTCTCTTTACATGGGGAGATAATCAAGAAAAGGGCAGGTTCACAATAGGGAATCAAAGTTTTTCATGAAATATCTAGGGTAAAAACTTCAAATATCTTCTCAAGAACCACTGGGTTAGAAAAACTAAAACTTATGTAAAAGCATCCTGGGGTAGTGAAGATTCTAAATTATTCTAATCATGACCCCAGGGATAGGGCTGGCCCACAATAGGAAATCAAAGTTTTACATACCGGTAGACAAAAATATATAGGAAAAACTTTTAAAATCTTCTTCTCAAGAATCACTGGGCTAGAAGAGCTTAAACTTATGTGGAAATATACTGGGGTAGTGTAAATTCTAAATTGGTTAAATCATGACCCCTGGGGGTAGGGCGGGGTCACAATATGGAATCAAAGTTTAACATAGAAAATAATAGAGATTTATCAATCTAATTACTGTTAAATATTTATATTTTCATTATGCTTATTAAATATGACATATGCTTATTGAATATGACATATGCTTATTAAATGATCATTTTGATCGTTTCTTTTTTATATTGGTACAAACATGTATTTTAATTTTTCAAGTAACATTGATTTCTCTTTGTAGCTTGAAGGCAGCAGAGAGGCTGCAGTATGGGATGCTATTTTTAGCTGGACTGAGAAAAAGGTAAATGTATACTAGGTTAACATAAAGTGTTGCTATTTTATACACTTATATCAGGATGAGGAAGGAAATGGTCAGGTTATGCCAGAAGACTTGTTAAGTAACCTTAACCTTAAGTTCAAAATATCTTCAGTGTCAATTTGATTGTAAAAATATATTTTGTGGGTAGCTTCTAAGTACTTTACATTTACTGTACAATCACTATTTTTAGTAGATATTTAATTGATTTGGGTTTTATTTTTTGAGGTTTGAAGAGACCTACAATTATTCATGTCCACCTCAAAATATTAAATGTCACATAGTATACATAAGTACTCAACAATTCTTTAACATCAAAATCCAATACCCATGAACCCTAATTTTTTTTTGCTCAAACCAAAAAAAAAAAAAAAATGACCCCAAGCATTTTAAAAAGGTATTAAATTGATATAGCAATTAATCCAAACAGTGTCATCAATACTGCTATTGATTGACAGCTGAAGCTGCCACATGGATGTGTGAAGGCCTGTGTGTTGATTGAGAATGTCCTGGCCTCCTTTGAGATGTATGAGATCCTGTATGCCCTCAGGGACCATTCTCTGGGACTTAACTGTGGCATCTGGGACTACTCTGCCTCCTTCATCAATAAGTTTGGTAAGGTCAAGTGTCCGTCTTTACTGGGCTGAAATACTGCAATTAATTGATTACAATTTTTAAAGGTATTTTATTGAATTGAAAATTGTTTTAGATTTTTATACGCCCGTCTTAAGATAAACGTATTATTTAAGGCTTCGTGTCCGTAAATATTCTGTCCGAAGTTGTCATTGTCTGTTAGCTTTTCGTTTCCGGCTCATAACTTTAAAACTATTAGGCCTAGGATTATCAAACTTTGTCATCTGATGCATCTTGGGTAAGGTGTGTCGCGCACAAAAAGTAGGTCGCTCTGACCTTTAATAAGAAGATATAGCCAAATATGGAAAAATCCTTTCCGGCCCATAACTAGAAAACTATAAGAATACGATCATCAAACTTGGCCAGTTTATGCATCTTAGGTAAAGGTGTGTCGCGACCTATTTCAAGGTCACTGTGACCTTTGATTTAAATGAAATTTTAAAAAAAAATGTGTCTTTTTACTATTCATTTACACATAAATAAAGTAAGAGTATTGCACTGTCCTTATTAAAAAAGTGTTAAATCAAGAAAATACTTATTTTTTTTAAAGCATATTTGACAGCAATCTATAACAAATATTATGTATGTTAAAGAAATCCTACCTCTCCCATGAGTGTAATTATCAAGCACTGGTCAAGACTAAAGAAGAATTTTGATAACAGAAAATTGCATGTCAAATTAGAGAGAAATTAATGAGTTTTGAGTGTGAGGAGTTCGCTAATAGCTAGAGCATGGTGTTATCTATATCCCTTGAGTATTGGGCAAATGTGTGAGCCTGTTGGATTAAAAATAGCTCTTGCTGGCTAGCCTAAGTTTTAAAATAAATTTAATGAAAAGTAATTAAAACTAATTTAATATTGCATAGTAGAATAATCTTATATTATATAAAATTGTTAATTTATAAAAACTAATTTTAAATGTCAGATCAGCATGTCCATATGAATTTTATATTAAAACCTGTCGGACATTAAATGTCAACCAAAAAAAATCTTTGAGTATTTCATATGTTTTTAAAAAAGTTATGGTAGATAGTGCAGACCCATTCATCTATTGGTATTAATGAGTAGACAAGCATCCAGTTAAAGATTAATTAATGAGTTCAGGCTAGCTGTCTTAATCACTCTGATCAATCTGTATGATGACCTTTGGGAATGTAGAACAAAGAACTGTGTGGTTAGTTTACAGCATATGTCATTTGATGGCCAGTCCAATATGTTATATATCAAGAGTATTGTCATATTATTTGCCATATTTCTGTGGAACTAGGGATGTCAACGAATATTCCTAAAATTTCTTTAGTCGGAGTAAAAAAAAAATTGTCTTTTCTTTTCAAAATTAATTTGATATAGATTAATTTGTTAAGACTAATTTGATATTGTTTAATATGATGGGCATTTGACAAACACAACCAGCATAGAAATCCATCAATGATGTAATATTTGTTATAACTAATGCTTACATCACAGGGGATGGATAAATATTGTTTAGGAATGGAAAAATCATGGAAATTTAGAATCATTTTTTGCAAGCTAAACTGTTGAAGAAAATTGTAATTTTTGACGGGCGTATCATGCTGTGGCGCGGCACTTTATTTTATTTTATTAGATAAAATATAGAAGTTTATTCAAATTTGTTGGTAAAAATTTTCAAGTTAATATTTTTGAAGTTGGGTAATAACTGTACCATTTGTACCCAGGTCACCGGCGAGACTTTTTGCTACCAGACAGGAATAAGTATGTTTCTATGGACCGCCATTTCCTGAAGAGCTACATGGATCTCGTGGTACAGACCTGCCATCGCCGCGGATGCCATGCAACAGGGGGAATGGCAGCCTTGTTATTACCTAATACAGAAAAGGATGAAAAATATCGAATGATTCAAAATAAAGTCTTAAGGTAAAATTAAATTTAAAAGGGTGGTGCATTTCTTTATGAGCTCTGTAAATTTTTCTTTGTTATAAGCAGTTTAATCAGGGTTTTTAGCTCTACTGGTCAAAGACCAGAAGAGCTTATTGAAGAGTAAGCTGTCCTTCTTCAGTTTGTCTGTCTGTCTGTAAACAATTTTTCAAAATGCTACTCCTCCTACAGCTTTGGTCTGATTTCAAATTATAATTGCTACTCCTCCTACAGTTTTGGTCTGATTGCAGTGTAACTTGTCCATGAATGGTCTTGCCATGTTTACTAAAAAAGAAATTTCCTTGAAATATTTTCAAAATGCTACTACTCCTACAGCTTGGTCTGATTTCAATAAATCTTGCCTTGGAAATGATGAAACCAATGATTAAATTTTAATTTATTACTGTTGCAAAGTTTCAAGTTCAAACGCTACATTTCTCTTCCTTTGTAATAAGTTTAAACCAGTAGAGCTGCAGTCTCACCAGAGACTTCCTGGTTGATATAATAAGTTTGAAAGTCATTTAACATTTTATGTGAAACTCTTTTTAAATTCTGGACATTCAAACATCCTACAAAATGCCAAAGATTTGAAAACACCTAATAACAACCAAACCGAGATACGAAAAGTTTAGCAATACAACATCCAGACTATTTAATCACTGTGAAAAGTGTGTTCTTATTCTACCTAACTGAAGTAATGAGATAATTCAGTGTGAGTTCATATTTTACACAAAAGTCAACACTGAATAGTATTAAATAGATCATAAATGAACATAAGAAATAAGTTGAGAAACAATGTCATTATGTGCATGATAAAAAAGATAATGATATTAAAATAAAAACCCTGTTTCTTACAGAGCTAAGCAGGCAGAGATAGAGGCAGGGGTAGATGGATTTATGGTGTACGACGTACGCTTGGTGGGCCCAGCTCAACAGGTTAGTTTATAAGTAATATCTTCAATCAATTCTAAATAACATTATTTTGGTCTTGTTTTTATTCATTTTGTCATCTTTTGAATTATAACTGCAAAATTACCCTTGCATTCTTAGATGTGGAAAAGGTTAACCTCATCAGACAATCAGTTTTCCAGATCAAGGTCAGAGGTCAAGGTCACCAATAAAGACTTATTACTGATGCCATCAGTAAGTATTGAGGGTTGTTGATATCAGTGTTTAGTTATGATTGATATGGTTGATTGCACCAATATCCTATATTACAGGGAGGAGTGACAGAGACAGGTTTGAAACATAACATTGCTGTTGGTATCCTCTTCATTGAAGCTTGGCTCAGAGGTGTGTTTCCTATCTATGAGACTGTTTTTGAATTTTAACATGCATTTATGAGATCTTCTTAAAATTTTAGCTCACATGATCTGAGAGCTTGAGCTTTTCAGATCACAATTTGTCCCTCATCCATCTGTCGGCCCATGTGTCTATACAATTTTTTAAGTATTTCAGGACTATTTGGCTTATTTCAACCAAGCTAGTCTAATGCATCCTTTGGTGAAGGGAAATCAAGTTTATCTAAATGAAGAACCACATCATTTGAAAAACTTCTTGGGAACACTGGGCCAAAAAGTTCAAGCATTTAAGATTTTAAAAATTTGTGTAAAGTGTAGATTGAAATTTGTTCGAAAGATGGCTTTCCTTGGGATGGGGCGTGATAGGAGATAAGGGTTTAATATGTATATACATGTACATGTATTTAGGAAAAAATCTTTTAAAATCTAAAGAACAGCTGTGCTATGGTTAGTCATATTGATATTGAAACAAGTTTAAGTTCAGTTTTGCTCAAATCATGGTAGGCTGGGGCCACAATAGGAGATTAAAGTTAAAGGAAATGTATGTGAAAAAAAATCAAGGTTAATTTTCTGATGAAGTGTACTTGGGAAAATTTATTACAATTTTTCTCCAGAACAACAAGACTATGTTAGTTACGTAAAGAGGCATTCCTTTGTCAGGTTCATTAAAGCTTGGTCAAATCATAACCATCTAAGGCTTGGTTAGGGACACTATAATAGGATCAAAACTTTTGTGGGAATAGAGGGGAAAATCCCTTTAAAATATGAAGAAAAGCAGGACAAAGAAGCTGTTTCTTTCACAGAAGCTTTATATTTTTCAATTTCAAGTTTCTGATTTAACAGGTGTTGGCCATTACTATTACAAGGGAGCTGTGGAGGATTCAGCCACCGCTGAGATATCCAGGTCACAGGTAAGAACTAAAAATATCCAGTTCACAGGTAAGAACTAACTAAAAATATCCAGGTCACAGGTAATAACTAACAATATCCAGGTCACAGGTAATAAATAACTAAAAATAGCCAGGTCACAGGTAATAACTAACTAAAATATCCAGGTCACAAGTAATAACTTACTAAAATATCCAGGTCACAGTTGAGAACTAACTGAAAATATCCAGGTCACAGGTAAGAACTTACAAAAATATCCAGGTCACAGGTAAGAACTTACAAAAATATCCAGGTCACAGGTAAGAACTTACAAAAATATCCAGGTCACAGGTAAGAACTTACAAAAATATCCAGGTCACAGGTAAGAACTAACTAAAATATCCAGGTCACAGGTAAGAACTAAAACTAAAAATATCCTGATAACAGGTAATGTCCAGGTCAAAGGTAAGAACTAGCTAAAAATATCTAGGTCACAGGTAAGAACTAACTACACAGTTCATACTGGATCTCAAAGGTCACTGAGGAACAAAGGACTAGATTATAGAGATCTGTTGATAGATACCTATATAAAAGTATTGGTACACTATAGTAATTATCTTATGTTGATAGCTATTTTGCTCAGATATCCAGATCTCAAAAAGGTGTAATGAAAGTATATTATGCTAGATATTGCATATTACAGTAAAAACATGTTGAATACAGACAGTACTAGTGCCATTGTCATCTTTATTAGGGCCCCGCAAGGATTTGCGGGTGCCCTATAGTAATCACTCTGTCTGTCCGTCCGTCTGTCCGTCTGTCTGTCCGTCTGTCACTCTTCCGTCCACAAATTTTCTGTTTTTTTCTAATAACTTTTTTTATGGTTGCCCAATCAAGTTCAAATTTGGTTTGGTAGTTCAGTAGGCAGAAATACATATTTTGATGCTAAGTTTGGTTCTCTACATCTTCAGGTTTGGAGCGGGGGTGGTGGGGTAGATTCCTTAACTATGCATAAGAATGAATGGGCAACATTTTTTATGGTTGCCCAATCAAGTACAAATTTGGTATGGTAGTTCAGTAGGCAGAAATTCATATTTTGATGCTTAGTTTGGTTCTCTATGTCCCCTGGTTTGGAGCTGGGGTGGTGGGGTAGATTCCTTAACTTTATATAAGAATGCATTGGCAAAGAGAGATAACTGCTGAAGATGTTCCCATTGTAAACTGAATGCTGGCTATGAGTCTCTTGGGATTAATTAGCTTTCCTCCTGAAGAAAATCCAGAGCATTATCTTTATCTGTCACATTGAGATGAATTACCACCTCTGTCTGCAAATGAAGTTTGTTTTGAAGTTAAGTCAATTTGGAATGCTATGAACACTCTGAAATGTGGATTTAAATATAAATTTTTATAATTTATTTTTGTTTAATAGTTATGATTTCATTGAATTCTAAAAACAAGAAATAGATTAAAGAAGATTTTTTGATTTACTTTTTTTTCACTTTATGTTAATTCAAGAATATTATTAATTTTTAAGGTAGTTGTATAAAAACCCCATTCTATCATTATAATACTGAAAAAAGTTCTTATTGTAACTTTTAGAAGAAAATGATGAGAGAGGTACAATTAATCCTTTGGGATTAATTATCTAGCCTGCTGCAGAAAATTTAGTAGGCTTTTCTTTATCTTTAACATTAATGAAAACCTTTGTCTGCAACTGCTGTTTCTTTGAAGTTAAGGTCAAGCCTTCATGATATTTGCATTCATTGAAGGCTGGCATTCTATATAACACAAACTTCTTAATTGTTTAAATATACATTCAATGTTCAAGTTGTTCTTTACTGCCTAATGTAAATACAAGGATATTATTTTCAGGTTTTTGAATATTCAAGAATTATCTTGACATTTTAAGAATACAGTTGCTGTTGCTTATTCTTCGTACATTTTTTAATCATTCCGTAAGCTGCACCCTTTTAATTCTACCCCATGGCGGGGCCCTTGCTGACTGGTCAGTTTTCTAGTTATTTTTATTTTTTTCCCCTATAGATCCATGTATGATTACTTCTACTTTTTCATTAAACAACATCTACATTGAAATAAAAACAGGGTATTGAGATTTATGCTATTTAACAAAACTATTAGTAACTGGAATCCTTCATATTTTTAATATGATCTACATTTAAACAAGTATAATAAATGTACACTGTCTTTACATAGCACTACTTTGCATCTGATTATTATTTCTACAGATCTGGCAGTGGATAAGATTTCAAGCAGTTTTAGAAGACAATGGCAAGCAGGTAACAATGGCGATGGTGAAGACCTTAATCAGAGAAACGATGCAGAGGATGTTCTGGTCATCGGAGAATTCTCATTTTGTGACGGAAAAAGACAGGCAGAGGCTTCTCACAGCTGCTCAAATGTTCCAAGAAATCTTGTCCAAGCTAGATTTCCCAGAATTCATCACTACGTATTTGAATTTAGATCACACATTTTTAAGGAGCCAGGCTTCATTTTCTTTCATCAGTATGTCAGCCATAGAATCTCGTTTGTGAAGGAGAACTTGGTATTCTCGTGGTAGAGCCCGGTGTCCTAGGATCTTTGAACGGTGAACACTTGTAGTCATTCCATATTATTGGCTATTTTATTAAAGATTGCATTTTAAAATATATTTACTCAATACAATTTTAATTCAACCAGAATAGTTCCTGTAGTGTTGGAGTGTTTATCTGTCTGTCTGTATTTGTGCTCTTTTTCCTGTTGTGCTCTGATTTATAAAAACTTTGCACACAAATTACAAGATCTAATTTTATTTACTGATTGAAATGTACAATATTGACCAGGCTAGTACATGTAGAATAATTTTTTGAACTTTTTAGAAATGCTACCTCATCATTTTGTTTGATTTCAGTATATATTTTATTATTTGAAAATGCTACTTGTCTTACAGATTTTTTTATGTCCCTATATTTAAGATTAGGGGGTATGTGCATTTTGGTTTGTCCATCAGTCTGTTTGTCTGCAAAAACTTAAAGTTTATTTATAATTTTTGAATGGTTAGTGTTAAGGCTGTTTTGTTTATTATTTTAAAAATAAAAATCCTTATGATGATTTTTCCTTGGAAACACACAGTGTGATTGTATAAAACATTTCTCTGTTATTGTAGTGTCATTCTTGTAATTAGCCATCTGACTCGTTCTTAGTCCGAAATATCTGTCCATTTAAAGAAAAAAATTATGTTCTACTTTTCACCAAAAAAATCAAGCTTTAGAGGAATGTTATAGTCACATATTGAAGACATGTAATTTTTGGAACTTTAATCAAGGTGATAATTAATGCCTAATGGAAACTTGTTTATAAAATTTTATTTTGTAGTTTTTGCTTTTGATGAAAAGGGGCCTCTGGTTTTGTATCTGCCTTAATACATGTATTAAAGTGCTACAGGTTTAATATTGTCAGTATGGTACAGGAGTGTATTGTATCTCATGTTTGTTTGTTATTTTATATGTATCATTTATTCAGGTGCCATATACTTTTCATATGTGATATGTTAATCACAATCATCAGATGTGATTGGTAATGCTTACATTTGCAAATTCATGTCTCTTAGAAATATTGGGGCATTAAAGCTCACCTGAGCCTAAGGCTCAATAAGCTTTTCTGATGGAAACTTGTCTGGCGTTTGTCTTTTGGGTCATCTGTAAACTTTTAGTGACTTAATCTTCTCAGGAACCCCAGGGCCAATTTCAACCAAACTTGCCAAAAAAAATCATGAATAAAGAAGATTATTTTTTTTAAATAAAGGGCGATGTCCTCTTTCAAGGGGAGATAATTAAGGATTGGGGTCATAAGAAATCAGGGCCACAAAGACCAATCAAAGTTTTGCATGGGAATAGATATTTTAATCTACTCAAAAACAACAAAACCATGTCAAGTCCTATTCACAATGGAGTATCCTTGTGTAGTAAATATATACAAAGGGGCATGCTAATGGATGGCAAGGTCATGGTAAATCAGGTGAGCACTGTTGTCCTCTGTTTTGTATTTATAAATAAAATATTTTTGTACTACATGAACTTTTATTTTTCTGTCTTTGGTTAAAGATTCAGTAAACAGTCCATATTGTTTTGCAATATACATCTCCAATCAAACCTCAGATGCCTCATGATAACTTGGCTTAATTTATCATGCATATGTGAACATTTATGTCATACCATACTATGGACTTTTTATGTTCTTTAGAAGAGAAAGATGGATAGAAATGTAAGACAGGCCTGATGTTACATCACGGAAAAGAATACAAAATATAATATACTGTACGTGGATGTCAAAAAAAAAAAAAATTAAAATAAAAGGTATATAACAAAACATTTACTGACCGAGTTCTCAGGCAGTGGGCAAAATGCGTTTTGTTGACCCACAAACCAAACTGTCTGCCTTCAGCCTCATGCACAGTTTGGTTCTTGGGGTCTGAAAAAAAGCATGTTGCCCTTGAACTCGTCATTAAATTATATTGTTTATTATTATGCTTCCTGTCAGTTTGTCTCTATATAACCCATACCCTACTATTTTCGCATAGTGGTCTAAGGATTTATATAGCGTAAGCATACTATGCCGAAATAGTGCACGGCCTTATTTTTTGAATAAAATTCTTCATTGCACTCACCGGGAATCGAACTCACAACCATGAGGTTGCCAGTCCGATGCCTTATCGATTACGCCACAGAGACGATCACTGATTAGCTGCATTTTATTAAATATATAAACTTAATTTATACAATTGATACAAGAAGGAGAAAAGAGACAAATATTATTTGAAAACAGTTATATTTATTCTAAGGAATCTTAGATAAATGTGTACAACAAAGTTTCAAACTAATTATTACATACAGATCGTTAGATGAACTGATACCATGGGGTCATTAAAACGCTTTTTTATATAGCGCTTGATTGAAGGATGTAAAAGAAAATTATCAATGAGAATCCACGTCTGTAAACAAATCAGTCTTACTAACATAACAGAAAATAAAGATGAGTATCTGTGGGACAGAAAATTCTGACTTATTTAGAGAAAATACTAGTAACCAAAAATAACTAAGCATGCAACTAATTTTAGCATGAAGATTTTGAATGAGTTTTTGCAAGTGCGCTGTGTTACCACCATTATTTTCAGGAAAAAATCAAATGGATTGCCGCATAAATAATAACAACAGTCAGCATAATAATAACAATAGTGTTGCATTATGCATGTACTATGCCTAAATGGTAGGCAGGGTTTGACACATAGTGCACTCGCCTCCGGAGGCGTGGTTCCCATGTGTCAAAACCAGCCAACAATTTAGGCATAGTACATGCAAATGCAACACTATTATATAAATAGCAGATAGAGTGATATTTCAAAAATTGCATGGTTCACAATGTTATATTTATTACATGTATATGATTGAATAATTCCTCTCCTGCTGATTGGCTGAGATCCAACAATAAAGAAAAAATACCATGTTATTATTCAATTTTCCTTTGGGTCAAAATACATCCTTGAATAGACTTCTGTAGAACCCAATTATTCCTCCATCAATATATGATCTGGATAAGAATTCAATGTGTGCAAACTGTGTTACTTATGATCTCGCTGATAATCATGACATCCCTTTAAATCCATCCTTTTCTCAGTAATCAGTTTTTTGGTACTTTCCAAATGTTTTTGTACGAATGAGCTTGGACATGATCATTGAAATTCACAGCCGTACTATGTCTATCAGATCCACAGGGATACAGTTGTAATACTAGTATACCTGGCAGTGTTAACCTTCTGTGAAAGACTGGAATACCAGAGAAATACAACACAGGTTCACAGAATAGTATGGACTAATTCCATGATAACACATCTTTGTAATGCATCAGCCAACCACCTTTCCTTGGTCTTTTCCTAAATGTTATTAGACATAACTCAGAAAAAACAGTAATTCAAGAAATAATCATTTATTTCATGTGGAAAAAATCTTAATATTATAGTAAATGCAAATGCCACATTCCCTTGCCCACCCATTCACAAAACCATGCTCCCTTCCCAGACATACCCGGTACATAAAATAATCAATCAACTGAGACTATGTCTGACTACATAGGTATCATTAAAACTTGTAGGGAACACGCCTACATCCTGTAAATGCATGTCAAGGTTTTCATCTCAATACACTCACACATTAAAGCATTCTGTTCATGAATTTTTTTAATATTTTCACACAAACATCTAATCTATCGCAGGATTGTTTAAAGGGGCATGTTGTTTTTTTTCTGCAAAAAAAATTTAAAAGTGTAATGTTTCTCTAGATTTTTAGGTGCTCTGTATTTCCTTTCTTCAATGTTAAAAGATTTTTTTCCAAAAATTTAATGTGTACAGGAAACCTCCTTCATTGAGAACAAAGACATTGCAAAGTCATGGATATATAGAGAGGATTCTTGGATCCTAGGCTATAATATTTTTTTGAATTTCTGATACAAATAAAAGGAATAAGCTTATGACATTCTTATAAAAAAAAAAAAATACAAGGAATTACGGCTAAAGCAAAGTAATTTCAGATCCCAGTGTCTTTGTTATAACTTTGTCTTACTGTAACAAGTTCTTAAAATCTAAGAAGAGATGATATGACTGATCATCTTCAAGAAGGATATGACTAGCTGTACATATAAAGATTAAAGATAAATGTTAATACAGGGTCAAGTCTCAAAATACTTGTACACAGATATTATAAATCATTACTTCTCCAGCATCAAGATGTGGTTTATCAGTTCAGAAGCATTCACAACAAACAAAAATGGAGGGAAAAATATTTCGCTCAGATCAAATAACATTCGATACAAAGATAATTCTCAAGCACACACAAACACTAAATACATGTACAGCTTACTAGAATGAAAAAAATTATTAAGCACTGAATATTTGTTCATTTGACAATATGTTATAGAACTTTTTATTATGCCACACTTCATTTAGAATGGAATGTGCAGTGTAAGCTTTACAAGATTCTTTAAAATCATATGCTGCAGTGGTTTTGATACAAAACATCCTTTATAGCATTAACTGATACCCTTTTTCATTGTTTTTGAACATGAGAACAGCTCTACGTTTTGGATTTCTGAGATTTAGAAAGAAGCATTGACAATGTTATTAAGACCCAGGAAGAAAACCTTAAATACTGTATAAAGAAATAAAGTAAATGACTCTGCATACACAAACACATACCATGAAAAATAGAGTGTGAACTCTGAAAAAAGTAATGATATCATGTAGCTTATACAAGTACTGTGATGTATTTATAATGCACATGCATACTGGTGGACAATTTCCAGAAAAATAAAATACTGAACTCCAAAAAAAAATTCTATAATAATTAAAATAAAATGGAGAGGGGAAAATAAAAGAGAAGTGTTTTTTTAATCAAAACACCCAACACACTTTCATGATAGCCCTGAAATTAGAATTAAACTTACTTTAAAGCTTTACTAGTAAGTGAGAGTAAACCAAATGACTAATATTCTAGTTTCTCAACATTCTTAACATGCGGTTATATTGTAAGCATTTTCAATAGAAGATATGCAAGTTTGGAAAATAGCTCATTTAATAGACTATGAAAAGTCATTTTGTTTACCGAATATGTTATTTGCTAAAAATGTATTTCATTTTATTTTAAAAAGAGGGTTTCATTCACTTTTGCTAATCTTAATTTGCACTTTAAAGGGTAAAAAATTGCTGATAAAGTCCACATTATACAAAAAATATACAAAAAACATTAAGGTTTATCAAATGACATTTAAATGCATGATATGACCTTTCATATTCACACGTCATAAATGACGCACAATCGGACTTTCTCTGAACTGTTATTCTCAATAACAAATGAAGTAACATAGCAAAAAATGTATTTCAAAATAAAAATAGTATTAGACCAGAAGTCTCTGACGAAATTGTAGCTCTTCAGGTTGGAGTTCCCAGTGCCATTCCAAAATTCAAATTTGCATCATGGAATGATGGATCTGTACCAAGTTTTACTGATATAAAAAAAAAAACAACTAGGGAAACATTTAAATGAATTTTAAAGATATATTTTTTTCTATAAAACTCTAAATCTTGGAAATGGTATCAAAATCAAGCCCTGACTATAGAAATATGTATGTCACTGTACTTTGAAGCTGTCTGCTTATGTTTCGAGGAAATAAGTTAAACCATTTAAATCAAAAACTGATACATGTATACATATTGTGTATCTTGTAGTCTACTTATGTATCAATTTTTAAGAAAAATTGAGAAGCAGCTTAGGAAATATTTCACAGACAGACAGATGGACAAATCAAGGACATCTTACTTATACATTAAACTCTTCCTGTCTTTGACTTGTAGAGCTAACAATGTTACAAATGCAACTGTCATTAAATATAAAATATAGGGTCAAAAAACAAAGATAAAAAAGTTTTCAGAATACTGATTGAACCACATCATGACAGCATTTTGTGTATTAATAAAGAGACAGGTCATTCACTCAACCTCTCAAGCTGAATTATTTTCTTCATTTGCTTACATCAATATTAAGCATTAAAATACTATCATCAGTTTTTGTGTACATATTTGCTGAAAACTGAACATAATGAAAAAAAAAAAAAGAAACTGGGGGAGAGAAGATGATGCAGTGATTTTGAATAACACAGCTGTATAGATGAGGATCTATAGCTCTATTAACCTGTCCAGGGCAGGGTTCACAGAGGACCACTGTTCTATAAATAGTGCTGTCAGGGACAGATGGGCACTCCGTCCTTAATATCACACGACAGACCACTTGTTCACAGTGAGACAGTTACTGAAGCAGTCTGCTATGAGCCGTTGGGGAGGATTTGGTCTGGATGGCTATTGGCCGGGATAAGGAAGGAGGGACACAAAGGGAAAAGTCTGTGGCACTTTGCCTGGTAGTCCTGAGCAGCAGATTCACACGATCCAAAATCTCCGCGACAAATCGCCTCCAACACCTCAATACAGTTCTACAAAATCATAAACCTATGTGATCACCAATGGAAATCTAGTTAGTTCTGTGTTTTGGTTTCTTTTTCTTACACTGATGTCAAGAACTTCTATCAGCAAAAGAATTTTTGTAAATTATTGAAAATTATTCTAAAACATAAAATACTCAACCAATCGGGTGATCCCTGTGAAAGAATCTGAAAGACTTGTGGCTAATTCTAAACTCTTTCTTTGAATTTCTGGTGTGGGATCTAATTCATACATCATCCTCGCACCTGGATAAAGACAAGAAAATCTATGTACAGCACATTTTCTTACATCATTCTCTTTAAAAGTTCATAATCTTATATAACTGCTGTAAAAAGTTAAATATCCAAGATAAATGCATCAATCTTCACATTTAAATGTCATCCACAGAAGACATCTTTGACGTCATATCAAAATTGTGTGTACAAAGTGTTATGTCTCATTTCTAATGCCTAAAATCTTAACCTTTATTTCAAATGTTTCTAAGACATAAAACTGAAAACTTCAAAATAGGTGGGGATGATTATTAAATCTAAGTTTTAAAAAGTTACCCATCTTTTAATAAAAATTCTCCAAGAGGCTCTACCTAGGATATGGTTAGGTTTTCAAATTACAGTAAAACTCGGTTATAACTAAGTCACAGGGACCTATGAAATCACATTGCTGTATCTGTAATTTGTTATATCCGTGTAAGGAATTCATTAAATTCATATAGTTGGGGATCCAAAATAACTTCGCTATATCTGCGAATTCGCAATATCCGTGTTCGTACTAAACGAGTTTTACTGTAGACACATGTCCAAGACGAGAAAAGACAACTTGCCAAACCATTACATCATTATATATTTTATAATTATACATTAAGAATTGAGAATTTTTATTAGCATCCAACATGTTTATATGATTTTTTTTTTTGCCTTTGGTATTTTTGTCCCCCGCTTGAAAAGTGGGGGATATTAATTTGGGTTTGTCCGTCCGTCTTTCTGTCTGTCTGTAACGCTTTCGTTTCCACACGATATCTCGAGAACCCTTTGAGCTTTTGCAATGAAAGTTAGCATAGCAACTCCCTATGGACTAAAGAAGACCCCTATTGATTTTGAGGTCAAAAGGTCAAAGGTCAAGGTCATAAATAAGCAAATTCTGTCTGTTAAAACACTTTCGTTTCCACACGATATCTCTAGAACCATTTGAGCTATCGCAATGAAATTTTACATAACAACTCCCTGTGGCCTAAAGAAGACCCCTATTGATTTTGAGGTCAAAAGGTCAAAGTTCAAGGTCGTAAATTTATACATTCTCTCTGTGTGTAACACTATCATTTCCGGGCGATATTTGAAGAAGATTTTGAGCTTATGCAATGTAATTTTATACCAAAACTCCCTAGGACGTCTCTCGCCCCTCTCAAAGTGCCCCGCCCCGTTTGTTTTATTAGTCTTTATAGTATTACATGTCGCTATTTTTAGCGCAGGGGCATGAGGAGAGTTATTGCATATAAAACAGGTTCTCGGCGGACTTTATGTTCTTATTACATCTATTATAACTGTTTAATAAAGGCTAAATAAATCAAACACCATGGATTGTGTAAAATTTTGAGAATTCCGAACATGAAAACATGAATATATACATGTATGTGACTTCAGTCCTGCATATACTTAACTCCGGGTAAAGCGACTCCGTGGTCTAGTGGTTATGTCTCTCGCTTCAAATGTGAGAGGTCCCGGGATAGAATCTCGGTCGAACCTTTCTTTTTTTTTTTTTTTTTTTTACTAAATGATAGTATTCAGCATGTGAAATGAAAAATTTATGAGGTTATAAAATCATCATTACAGTGTGATAAATATTCCATATAAAAAAATCTTCTATACACATAATAAAGAATAAGCAATCAAATCTTTATATGCATATTGACATACATGTATTTTATTTCCTTCAGTATACATGTATACATTTAATAATTCTACAAATTCAGTCAGGGGGATCTTTTTTAAGCGGGGGACACGAATTCTCTGAATTAGCTTGTTATAAATCTTTTTAATTTCATAATTTCAGAAAAATGGAAAATGGTATCAGATATTGGAATTTAGATATGATAAGCAAGGTATTCATGTATAAAATTATGCTAAGTAATTGTCGAATAAAATTCTCAGAAGGTTGTAGTAGGAGGTAAGACCATCCATTCATCAGTGCCTGATTAAGCAATGGTATGTAGAGTCTGAAAGGGTCAGCTATTAATTTTTCTATGACATCGTAGAAAAAAAATAGATTGGCCTGAATTTCAAGATTTCTCTCTCAAGTCAAATTACTGTCATGGAAGTCCATGTATTTATGACACAGTGAAATAAAGAAAACAAACCTGCTAATCTGTGAAGAATTGAGTTGTTATTGTGCTCCAGGAACTCGACATTAAGAGTCTTGGCATCTTTGCCTTGATAAAGCTTATCCATTTCTTGTTTTAATACTTTCTGGACAGTTTCTGGTATATCCCCCTTTTTGTTTACTGAAAAGATAAAAATAAGCTTCTGGATTTGGATATGAGTTGATGTGTGATCATCATTAAGCCCAAAAGACTTGAATTTAATAATGTGAATTTTTTTTTTATCTACATGATCTGGTTCGTGTATATTCCAACAGATGTTCTAAGTTATACATTGTTTATTTAATACAAAACAGATTTTTTTTTTATTAAAAAGTAACACTTTACAAGTTCTAAATTCAAAAAAATTATTTAAAGAATCACTTCTGTAATTATATCAACCCTTCTCATTGATACTGTTGAATCAAGTCAGAGTAATGACAAGTTGTCTGACCTGTTAATAGGAAGCGAATCCTGCACACATGTATTTGTGGGTGATCCCTATTGATCCGACAGCCCCTCTTCAGAGCCTGCAGCATCAGTAACTGTTTACCTGAAAAACAAGCATTCTCATTCAGTTGTGAAATTTACTTTTTGATTAACATATTCATACCATTTTGCTTTTTGATTTACATGTTCACTTGATACACAAACTGGGCATAAAGAAAAATGAAACCTTCATAGATGTTAATGAATATTTTATTTATATCTAATACTTCACATATTTGAGCAACCTACAGCATCTCTACTTGTCCAACATAAAATGATTTAAACAAATTTTAATGAACAATTAGAAGATATGATAAGTTATTATTTGAAAATCTGAAACTGTGTTTCTGCTTTTTAAAATGAAAACACCCAACATCAGTTTTATGACTTCTTCTTCTGTTTTTCTTAAGATTTCTAAATGACATGATCCTATTTTTAACTTTTACTAACTTCTCTTTGGGTGTAGGCCCTTCTTTCTAACAAATTTAAATTTCCATAACCTAAAGATGCTATGTAGCAAATTCCATCCCCATTACCCAAGGGTGTTTCAAAACACTACTTATTGTAACTTTTCAAAATGTATTGAAGAAATCAAAACGAGAAGTCCATGAGCCAATGCTCACTGGTAATACCCCTGCTCTGATCTGAATATACACTATCATGTTAATATATGCGAGTTCAATTACTGGCAGATGCACAGATAAACAGGAAGTTGACATCAGATTCATACAAAAATAAATCCCACCATTGGCATGCCTCAACAAAGTATGCGCTAAAATTTCAATCATCTGCAATGAGTAATTGCTGAGAAAACTGAGACAAAAATTTGTTATATATGATGACGCACGGATAAACAGGAAGTTGACATTGGATTTGAACAAAAATGAATCCCTACATATGGCATGCCTGAAAGAAGAATTAGAATATGCTAAAATTTCAAGCAACTGGGATGAGTAGTTGCTGAGAAATCAGACACACAGACGGACAGACATACAGAGGGGTAAAACAGTATACCCCCTCTCCTTTGGAGGAAGGATATAAATATGAAAAGGTTAAGCATAAACCATGGAGTTTGAGAAAACATACAGTAATGTCATTTGAGTGATTGTGATGAGCTTTAACTCAAAATCTTTCATTTACTCTTACCTTTTCTACTATAAATTTCATATGCAGACACGTGTGTTTCTATTCTATTGCTGGTAAATGTTTGTAAAGGTTTTAAAAATCGAATTGCTTGTTCCAAAGCATCTTCAGGCTGAAAAAGTAAAAAGTCTATTAAAGAAACCTCTATAAAATATTGTGATTAAGTTAAATCTATCCATAGAAACTTTCAGCATTTTTTTTTAATTTTTGAATATTTTGGAATTTGCAATAAACATTTATACAAAACAAAATTAAAGCTGGAGACCAACACCTTGAGGTTAAGATTGCGGAAGATTCTTACTAGTGGATACCACGTGGTATTCAATAGGGTCTGGATCAAAAGTAGTAAACTTAATTAGAACAAACAGATCACCAACACTTTGTAAGAATGCACATGTAAATTTATTTGGTTGACCGGTTTCGACCAGAGACGGTCGTCATCAGAACCTTGACGAGGCAAACCGGTCAACCAAATAAATTTACATGTGCATTCTTACGAAGTGTTGGTGATCTGTTTGTTCCAATTAAATAAACATTTATATTCAAAACAGTTCCAGAGACTTCAAATCACAGGTTCTGGTTATGTACCATATCAAACCAAACCAAACCAACTTTGCAAGTCATCTTCCCAAACTGATTTGCTGTCTCCACAGTACACACATGTATGAAGTGTTACATGTAATATATGTATTTATTTTAAAGCATGACCTGACTGGTTATTGTCCCCTTTTTATACAACTCCCTATGGCCTAAGGAAGATCCTATTGATTTTGAAGTCAAAAGGTCAAAGGTAATAAAATCTGTCTCTTTTAACACTTTTGTTTCCATATCTCAAGAAGCCTTTGAACTTTTATAATGAAATTTCATATCACAACTTTCTATGGCCTAAGTATAACCCAACTTCATTTTGGGGTCAAAAGGTCAAAGTTCAAGGTTGGAATTCAAACGTTCTGTGACAGCATGTGTGTAAAACTTTCATTTCAAGGTAATATCTCAAGGGTAATATCTCAAGAAGCTTTCAAGTTTTTGCAATCAATTTTTTTGCCATAACTCCCTAAGGCCTCATGTGCCCTTCTTACAGTGCCCCTCCCCCCCTTCAATCTCCCCCACTGATTCGTGCATGTTTTTTTTTTATCCTTTTCAAGAACACAGATTCTCTGAATCAGAATGTTACAAATTGAAAGAGCAGATTTAAATGTATTTAAAAGCTATGGAGAATGAAACAGATTTCCTGTACTCATCATAAACTTAGATGACCATCTCTGATATTAATACAATAAATATTTTAAAACCAGAATGACATGAAAATCTGGAAATCCCACAATTATACTTAATTTTTCTAAGAAAAAAAATTATTATCCTAAACCTCTGCAAAGGTCGACACCTACATGTACATACATCTATCCCACATAAAGTTATGAAAGGAAATTGTCATTCACACCTACTGTTTGATAAGAAATACATGTAGGTGTTGAATATTTCTAATAAATGTGAATGTTTGATATATTTGATTCACTTCATCAAAATGTAATTCACACCATTTCCTACACACAAGTGATGGCATCATGACAAGCTTATATCTTGCTAAACATCTGTAGTTATTTAGATTTAATACTTCTAATAAAGTGCCCTGCCACAGCATGATACGCCAGTCAAATATTGTTCAATAATCATAAATTGGTTGGGGTGCAAGAAAAGCAAGTAACCTTGTTTAACAGATTGACACAGATTTCAATGATCTAATTTCCATTTCTTATCATGTTTATTGTACATACATCTCTAAGAGACTTTCAGTGTAGGGATTAATTATAATAAATTATACATCATATAATTCTAAACTGGCTGCATGAGTTAGAGCTTAACAAATAATCCATCTGCAGATTTAAATTGTTTATTGCATATTTTATGAAATAATGGAAATGCTACAGTCTACATGGTCTAATAAAAAAAATCAAAATGAATTATTCTTTAGACTACAAAATTCTAAGAGAGACATGACTGCAATTGTTGCAAATATATAACAAATGAAATGTTTTTTTTTTCAATGAACACATGTATAATTAGTTTTAATTATATTATACAATACTAATTTAGTTTTAGTCATACACTAAAACATCAATTTGTTTTAATTACATTACACCAATTGAAAAATCTTTATCTGGACTATATATAGCCACCAAGAACTCTTAATTAACACAAGCAACTATGAGGCCATTTCTTTTTGCCCAACTCCCAAGAGATAAATTAAGATAACACTGCATGATCAGATCTAGAGATGCTCTTGCCAGTTAGCTCCCGACAATAAACTCATTAATTTCTCTCTAATTTGACATGCACATTTCTGCTATCAAAATTTTCCTTGACCAGTGCTTGATAATTATGCCCATGGGACAAACTGAATTCCTCTCAAAACATTAACATTTGTTACAGACTGCTGTAAAGTATATGATGAAACCAGAAGTCTCTGTCGAGACTGAAGCTCTACTGGTTTGTACTTATAGCAAAGGAAGAGCAAAGTACTTAAGCAGTTGGCAATTGAAACTTTACAACAGCAATAAATAGAATAATGATCGTTGATAAAGTCTTTTAATGTTCTTAGTGTAGTCTACTTGATTCCAAGTTATATTGAAATCAAACCAAAACTGTAGGAGGATTAGCATTTTGAAAGAATTTTACAGAAATTTCTATTTTTAGTAACCAAGGCAACACCATTCATCGAAATCAAAAACCAATTAATAGAATTATGTATCTTCGTGTAGTCTACTTGTGTGCCAAGTTATGTTGATTTCACGCCAAAACTGTAGGATGAGTAGCATTTTGAAAGAATTTTACAGAAATTTCTATTTTTAGTAACCACTGCAACACCGTTTATCGAAATCAAAAACCAATATACAGAATTATGTATCTTAGTGTACTCTACTAGTGTGCCTAGTTATATTGAAATCAGACCAAAACTGTAGGAGAAGTAGCATTTTGAAAGAATTCTACAGAAATTTCTATATTTAGTAACCACGGCAACACCGTTCATTGAAATCAAAAACCGATACACAGAATTATGTGTCTTAGTGTAATCTACTTGTGTGCCAAGTTATATTGAAATCAGACCAAAACTGTAGGAGGAGTAGCATTTTGAAAGAATTTCACAGAAATTTCTATTTTTAGTCACCACGGCAACACCGTTCATCAAAATCAAAAACTGATGTATAGAATTAAGTATCTTAGTGTATTCTACTTGTGTTCCAAGTTATATTGAAATCACACCAAACGGTAGGAGGAGTAGCATTTTGAAAGAATTTTACAGAAATTTCTACTTTTAGTAACCACTGCAACACCGTTCATCGAAATCAGAAACCGATATACAGAATTATGTATCTTAGTGTAGTCTACTTGTGTGCCAAGTTATATTGAAATTAGACCAAAACTGTAGGAACCAGAAGTCTCTGTCGAGACTGTAGCTCTACTGGTTTGTACTTATCAAAAACCATTGCACTATTTTATGTATCTTTGTGTAGTCTACTTGTGTGCCAACCTATTTTGAAATCAAACTAGAACTGTAGAAGGAGTAGCGTTTTTAAGGAATTTCACAGAAAATTCTATTTTTAGTAACCATGGTAATACCGTTAATCGAAATCAGAAACAGATGCACTATTCTATGTATCTTAGTGTAGTCTACTTGTGTGCCAAGTTATATTGAAATCAGATCAGAACTGTAGAAGGAGTAGCGTTTTTAAAGAATTTCACAGAAAATTCTATTTTTAGTAACCATGGCAAAACCGTTCATCAAAATTAAAAACTGATGCACTATTCTATGTATCTTAGTGTAGACTACTTGTGTGCCAAGTTATATTGAATTCAGACCAAAACTGTAGAAGGAGTAGTGTTTTTAAGGAATTTCACAGAAAATTCTATTTTTAGTAACCATGGCAACACCGTTCAACAAAATCAAAAACCGATGCACTATTCTATGTATCTTAGTGTAGTCTACTTGTGTGCCAAGTTATATTGAAATCAGACCAAAACTGTAGAAGGAGTAGCGTTTTAAAGGAATTTCACAGAAAATTCTATTTTTAGTAACCATGGCAACAAAGTTCATCGAAATCAAAAACCGATGCACTATTCTATGTATCTTAGTGTAGTCTACTTGTGTGCCAAGTTATATTGAAATCAGACCAAAACTGTAGAAGGAGTAGTGTTTTTAAAGAATTTCACAGAAATTTCTATTTTTAGTAACCATGCCAACACCGTTCATCAAAATTAGAAACCGATGCACTATTCTATGTTTCTTTGTGTAGTCTACTTGTGTGCCAAGTTATATTGAAATCAGACCAAAACTGTAGAAGGAGTAGCGTTTTTAAGGAATTTCACAGAAAATTCTATTTTTAGTAACCATGGCAACACCATTCATCGAAATCAAAAACTGATGCACTATTCTATGTATCTTAGTGTAGTCTACTTGTGTGCCAAGTTATATTGAAATCAGACCAAAACTGTAGAAGGAGTAGCGTTTTTAAGGAATTTCACAGAAAATTCTATTTTTAGTAACCATGGCAACACCGTTCATCGAAATCAAAAACTGATGCACTATTCTATGTATCGTAGTGTAGTCTACTTGTGTGCCAAGTTATATTGAAAACAGACCAAAACTGTAGAAGGAGTAGTGTTTTTAAGGAATTTCACAGAAAATTCTATTTTTAGTAACCATGGCAACACCGTTCATCGAAATCAAAAACCGATGCACTATTCTATGTATCTTAATGTAGTCTACTTGTGTGCCAAGTAATATTGAAATCAGACTAAAAATGTAGGAGGAGTAGCGTTTTGAAAAATTGTTTACAGACAGACGGACAGACAGACAGCTAGACAGACAGACGGACGGACGCCGGACGCATTACTATCACATAAGCTCTTCTGGTCTCTGACCAGTAGAGCTAAAAATAAGTTTTTACTTAATTTAACATTTTTTTATAAGGATACAACTATATTTTTACATCTTTTAGGATTATGAAATTTAAAATTTAAAAGACTCAGTTTTTAAAAAAAAATCACTTAAATTAAAGGTCACAGTGACCTTGAAATAGGCTGAGACACACCTTCTACCTTAGATGTATACTTTTGCCAAGTTAGAAAGCTCTAGGTCTAATAGTTTTCTAGTTATGAGCCGGACAGGATTTTTCCATATTTGGCTATAGCATCTTTATTAAAGGTCAGAGCGACCTACTTTTTGTGCGCGACACACCGTCTACCCAATAAGTATCAGTTGACAAAGTTTGATAATCCTAGGCCTAATAGTATTCAAGTTATGAGCCGGAAATGAATGGACAGACGGACGGACGGACATGAACCCTATAACATAATACGTCCCATCTTAAGACGGGCGTATAAAAAGCAGCTGATTGATCTAAAACTAGTATAGAACTGTTCTCACATGATATGATAGTGGGCGTACATAACAAGCAAACTAAATATCAAGATGGTGGCATCATGGTGCCCAAAAGAAAGGGACCCACTTTTAATAAATGTATCTGTGAGGAAAGGTACTGAAATGGGAGTTTGACCTGTGACTAACACCTTTAAAATGGTCATATTTTGGGAATAAGTTGCACAGCTGTGGCCAACAAAGAAATGTACACTCAACTTTCTGCTATGGCCTTGACCTTTGATCTAAAATAACTGGTTTAAGGTCCCTGCACATTCACTATGTAAAAGCATGAGGTTGAAGTATGATTGTGACAGGGCAACAATAAATTATATGGAGAATTTTTCTTTTCCTTTATCTTTGATCAAGAAATAGGGTCAAAGCTACTGTACATCCTCTTTCTACAACCACCTTAAGGTTGAATGAAGTATGAGCCAGATTGAACAAAGGATTTTTTTTTGTTTGAACAAAGAATAGAGAAAACTTGTTCATAAAATTTTACAAAAATATTTCCATGACCTTGACGTATGACCTACAAACTTGGTTCAATACCACTGCACATCCTTGACATCAGGTGAGAATTCAATTGGGACATGATGAGAAAAATATGCTCCAGACAAGGGGCCCGTTTTACAAAAGAACTTACGACCAATACCAAAAACTTAAGTTAATTGGAAAATTTTGTAAAATTAATGATTCTGATTCAAATTGCTATCATAAAAATATCTTATTAATTTCTATTACAAAAGATTAAAACAATATTCAAATCAATGTAAAAGTTAAGGTTACGTACATATCTTAGGCAGAAGTTCTTTTGTAAAACTCGTCCAAGGATTTTTATGAGACATTTTTTTAAAATTTATCTACAGTCTATCTGATATACACATAGTTATTTGTCTGATTAACAAATACCCTGGCTAGTTTGTCAGATTAACACATACCCTGACTAGCTTATCGGATTAACACATACCCTGGCAAGTTTGTCTCTGATTAACACATACCCTGGCTAGTTTGTCTTTGATTAACACATACCCTGGCTAGTTTGTCTCTGATTAACAAATAGGCTATCTAAATTTAATTCTCTGGTTCTCGAGCCAATTTTCTCCAAAACAGATGCGGGAGGGTGGCATTTTATTTATCATTTTATTGGCAATAAAGTAGATGAGGGAGGTATTTTTTAATATTAATTTTCGAATTTTCTTTAACATGAAGATAATTTTTTTAAATCACAGATATACTTTCCATGTCTGATTAAAAGTTCTGCTTTATCCATTGCTTATCAGCGTGTGAACATCGTAGGCAATGTCCTCGAATGTATTTTCAAACGCAGTAGCCAAAATCTCTTTGCAAATGGCTACCAGAAGTGATATTTGAATACTAAACTGCGAAAAAGTTAGGAAGGAATTTTTTTTCTCGGATTGGTCTCCCCAATACCAACTTTTTATTTTTAACAAAAATACAACAAAATTAGCAATGGGGCTACCTCAAAACGGATGCGAGCGGGCCTGAGAACCAGAATTTCAATTTCATGTAGCAATACCCTGGCTAGTTTGTCTGATTAACACATAGCCTGGCTAGTTTGTCGGATTAGTTTGTTGGATTAACACGTACCCTGGCTAGTTTGTATTATCTACACATACCCTGGCTAATTTGTCTGGCATCAGTTCCTCCTCCTTAGGACCATCTAGTTCACCATCAGTCTGTTTTTTGACTCCCTGTTCTTTCTTGTCATGCTCAGCTTTTTGTTTTTCTTGTGCTTGCTGTGCCTTCTTGGCAGCTTTCCTCTGTTTATTTCTAAGTTTTTTGAGTTCACTTGGAGTCAAATTCTCTATAAATTATAAAGAATACATGAGATGATTTGATTTGAAGGCAGTTCAATTATGAGAAGTTCCTTATGAGGTCTGTAGTCCCTTATGAGGTCTATTCAATACATACCTGTGTCCTGGTTTTTGTCTTGATCACTGTCCGATAATGGATGATCATGAAGGTGTAAATAAATCTGGAGAAAAACAAAACAAGACCTTTGAAAACAATTTTCTTCACAATATTTTTGGTGTTTAATTCTGAAAATATTATAAAGTGAAAAAAAAATAAGTGTAGGTAAACTGATGATCTAATTTTCCCATTTTCTCCAAACATTGAAATTATATTTATCCATTTTGCAAACTACATGATACATTGTGTACAAGGACTTTTTTGGTTTTTGTTTTAATCAACAGCATCTATATGTTTATCATTTACCAAGTAAATGAATGTCATTACCAAAAAAGAAATTAGCAGAAGTTACAAAATTCATGATTGAACCTAATGAAAGCAACATGGTCTATCATCATAAATTGACAGAGAAAAGTACCTCAATTGCGGTCATTGCTGCCTCAAAGTAGAAATGGTGGTTTCGGAGTTTGTCTTCCAAGCGCAGAAGACCAATATACGCTCGTAAAGTCATCTTCCTCATACAGTACGTGTGGAAATCAAACTGGTCTTCTATTATTTCTGTAAAATGCTGCAAACAAATGTTTTCCATGAAATAGTTGATGAAATAGTCTGCTTAATTCAATTGGTTTTATTGATACACAAGGACTCCTGCCATTTCAATAACTAAAGGATCTTACAGAATCTTACAGAAGGCTTAGCATAATTTCAGAATTCAACATTATTTTCATTGAGTATTCAAGAACACATGTCTTTGTCATATATGTACATTTGTACTTTTAAATAAAGTTTCTCTCTATTTTGAACAGTAATTGATGTATTGTTGCTTGCTGTACATACTCGGTCTACTTCATGGCACTTTTTGAGAGCATCTCCCCACTTGCCCATTCTTTTATAAGCCTCTGCTGCCTCTGTCTGAAACCACATACACTGCATCTCATTTAAATTGTCCATAGCAGGCACTCCTTCCTAGAATAAAGAAAACCATCAGGGAGTTACAATCCACAAGTTAATGTAGAACACAAATATGTCAGAAAACATCTAACCAATCCACTATTGACTTACTCTTGTAAATTTTGAACACATGTCTGCAGCTTCCTGAACTAAGTTGCCTTTCAGCATGTACTTGGCACACTTGGAATTGATGTATCGATCAGCTGTGTCTAAAGACTGGGCCTCATCCATCAGTCGCACAGCTTCTTCAATATCACCCGCATGCTGCAGAGAACATACTTATTACTGTACATAAACATAAATTAATAAATGTGTAATACAAATATTATTAAGCAACCCTGATGCTGAGAAATTCAATTTTCTGCAAAGTTTGTTGACTTCTGTCTAAAGTTTCAAGACAATTCATCTCTTCAGAGTATAAAGTAAGTTTGATAACTCCTGAAGACCTAAACAGTTTTGAAGGCTTTTACATCTACTGATGGACAAAAACTGCTATCCTTAGTAGTGGTGTATGATGGAGACCACACCTTATAGATCTTAGCTTTAAGAACATAGAGCTCTATCAGTAGTGGTGTATGATGGAGACCACACCTTATAGATCTTAGCTTTAAGAACATAGAGCTCTATCAGTAGTGGTGTATGATGGAGACCACACCTTATAGATCTTAGCTTTAAGAACATAGAGCTCTATCAGTAGTGGTGTATGATGGAGACCACACCTTATAGATCTTAGCTTTAAGAACATAGAGCTCTATCAATAGTGGTGTATGATAGAGACCACACCTTATAGATCTTAGCTTTAAGAACATAGAGCTCTATCAGTAGTGGTGTATGATGGAGACCACACCTTATAGATCTTAGCTTTAAGAACATAGAGCTCTATCAGTAGTGGTGTATGATGGAGACCACACCTTATAGATCTTAGCTTTAAGAACATAGAGCTCTATCAGTAGTGGTGTATGATGGAGACCACACCTTATAGATCTTAGCTTTAAGAACATAGAGCTCTATCAGTAGTGGTGTATGATGGAGACCACACCTTATAGATCTTAGCTTTAAGAACATAGAGCTCTATCAGTAGTGGTGTATGATGGAGACCACACCTTATAGATCTTAGCTTTAAGAACATAGAGCTCTATCAGTAGTGGTGTATGATGGAGACCACACCTTATAGATCTTAGCTTTAAGAACATAGAGCTCTATCAGTAGTGGTGTATGATGGAGACCACACCTTATAGATCTTAGCTTTAAGAACATAGAGCTCTATCAATAGTGGTGTATGATAGAGACCACACCTTATAGATCTTAGCTTTAAGAACATAGAGCTCTATCAGTAGTGGTGTATGATGGAGACCACACCTTATAGATCTTAGCTTTAAGAACATAGAGCTCTATCAGTAGTGGTGTATGATGGAGACCACACCTTATAGATCTTAGCTTTAAGAACATAGAGCTCTATCAGTAGTGGTGTATGATGGAGACCACACCTTATAGATCTTAGCTTTAAGAACACAGAGCTCTATCAATAGTGGTGTATGATAGAGACTAAAACCTTATAGATCTTAGCCTTAAGAACATAGAGCTCTATCAGTAGTGGTGTATGATCGAGACTGTACCTTATAGATCTTAGCTTTAAGAACATAGAGCTCTATCAGTAGTGGTGTATGATCGAGACTACATTTTATAGATCTTAGCTTTAAGAACATAGAGTTCTATCAGTAGTGGTGTATGATGGAGACCATACCTTATAGATCTTAGCTTTAAGAACATAGAGCTCTATCAGTAGTGGTGTATGATGGAGACTACACCTTATAGATCTTAGCTTTAAGAACATAGAGCTCTATCAGTAGTGGTGTATGATCGAGACTACATTTTATAGATTTTAGCTTCAAGAGCATAGAGCTCTATCAGTAGTGGTGTATGATCGAGACCATACCTTATAGAACATAGAGCTCTATCAGTAGTGGTGTATGATCGAGACTACACCTTATAGATCTTAGCTTTAAGAACATAGAGCTCTATAAAAAGTGGTGCATGATGGAGACTTTACCTTATAGATCTTAGCTTTAAGAACATAGAGCTCTATCAGTAGTGGTGTATGATCGAGACTACATTTTATAGATCTTAGCTTTAAGAACATAGAGCTCTATCAGTAGTGGTGTATGATGGAGACCATACCTTATAGATCTTAGCTTTAAGAACATAGAGCTCTATCAGTAGTGGTGTATGATGGAGACTACACCTTATAGATCTTAGCTTTAAGAACATAGAGCTCTATCAGTAGTGGTGTATGATCGAGACTACATTTTATAGATCTTAGCTTCAAGAACATAGAGCTCTATCAGTAGTGGTGTATGATCGAGACCATACCTTATAGAACATAGAGCTCTATCAGTAGTGGTGTATGATCGAGACTACCTTATAGATCTTAGCTTTAAGAACATAGAGATCTATAAAAAGTGGTGCATGATGGAGACTTAACCTTATAGATCTTAGCTTTAAGAACATAGAGCTCTATCAGTAGTGGTGTATGATGGGGACTACACCTTAAAGATCTTAGCTTTAAGAACATAGAGCTCTATCAGTAGTGGTGCAGCCTACGCGTAAGTTTAAAATTATTACAGGACAAAATGTCTGGTAAAAATAAAATTTTTACCAGACAAAACAATTTCTTACCAGACCAACTTTTTTTCCCTTTATAAATCCATACATCATTATGATACTGAAATTGAGAGGGTGGGTGGGATGAGGTTAATTCTCACTGTGAAATTTAACCTTAAATAAATTCAGAGTGAAATAGACAAGTTAAATATTTATAATTTTCCTTTGTAAAAGGTATCTATTTATAAAATTGCATGCATTTTTTTTCTTCATATTTAACTTATACAACATACACTGTATCAAAAAATTTCTTAAATTAAAAATGTACTTTCAATGCATATTTATTTTTCCAGAAACAATTCATTATGGTTACTCAAGTTCAATGATCATTTGAAAATAATTTACCAACCGAATCTACGTATGAGCTATCTAAATATTTTCCCAACCAAATCTATGTTTGAGCTATCTAAAGATCTCTAATCCTTGACAGAGGAAATTCGAATTAAAATAAAAACGATCATGACAGGGTTGTAATACATAATCAAAGTACTCAGAAGTACTGAAAGCCGGGCTTATTTACAGGTAATGACCAAGGACCGTGGTGACAGTTTCAAATCAAGTTCAGACGTTTAGAGGATATGTTACACACAAAACACGCAAGTCCTCGGGGAATAGTTCCCTGTCGCGGCTTTGATAAAAGAGCTATCCAACTCACAAGCATTGGATAAGTGTATATTATATACATCATGTACAAACAGAAGTAAAGCAAGATTAATTAAGGTCAAACGACTTTGCACTGATGTGTCCTCAGCGGGGAGTTTTGCATCAAATCATTAATGATGTTCTCTGCATTTGTGTTAGCCTGGTATAGTACAACCTTTATTTATAGAATATGACGCAGACAGGGATACCTGGTGAAAACCTTTCGCACCTTTTGAATTGCTTTGTAAAATATTAGTCAAAGGAGCCAGGAAAAATAATAAACAATTTAATATTTTGAAAAAAATATTCGATTTACTATTTCTTGAGGTGTTTGAATGGATTTTGTTTTCTCAACAGCGGCTGGGCGTAGGAACTATATTTTTACTCGTAAACTCAATTTGGCGGCAAAGAAGCAGCATTTTCTGTTGCTCACCGTCGCAATAGCCGGGCATTGCTCTACGAGCAATGAGCCCGGCTAAAAATTAATCAGGTATTACTGCTAAATTGGTCAAATAAAGGATATTTGTGGGGAATTTGACCATGTGTACCTCTTCATTTAGATTTATTTGGCCTTATTTTTTATCGGACATTTGGTCCTGTAGACTAAAATTTTTTACCGACCCGACCTAAATTTTACCGGTAAAAACCGACCGTCCTGTGACTTTCGCATAGACTGGTGGTGTATGATGGAGACCATACCTTGTAGATCTTAGCTTTAAGAACATAGAGCTCTATCAGTAGTGGTGTATGATCGAGGGCCAGGTTGACGTAGTCCAGCGCCTTCAGGGTTTCTTGTTTATAGTCGTAATGTGAGGCTAGGAAGAAGTACACCCAAAGTATGGTGGTCGGGGGTTCTTGTTCCGTGCTCTCTGAAAAAAGTAACAGAATTATAAGAAGACAATAACACATAAAACTTCACCTTTACTTCCAAATGTTACTATCATTTACACAAATACATGTGGTTCTTTTCTTCTTTTTTATTTTATTTTACCTGCATTGTCAAATTTTCCATATTGTTTCAAACAGTTCAAATATCCTAAAACTAGTTCCTCTATTATCTCCATCTATAAAAAGAAAGAGATAATTTTTTATTCTTTTTATATTCCACTTTTTGTTATCAATCAAATTTCTAAGGTATAAATACAAAAAAAAATATTAATGTTCTAAAGTATATTTACAAGTAGATTACAAGGGTGACACATGCCCCTGATAAAGCATCTCAAGATGAAATTACAGAATCATTTATAGTTCATGGAAAGAATACAATCTAGTCTTTTCAAAACTGAAAATAAAATTAAATGTCAAACTGTACAACTCACTTTCTTTGTATCTTTGTACAATTTCTTGATGGTGACAAACAGCGGTGGGACACCCTTGTGAAGGGCTCGTCTTAGATATGTATCTGCCAGACTCCTGAATGTGCTACCTGATAAAACAATAAGGCATAGAGTCAACATCAACTGCTTCTTTATAATGCTAAAATATCATATTTAAAGAATTCAGAAATATAAAGATCTGAATTCTTCTTTATAATAACTGCGAAGGTTACAGAATTCAAATAAAGATACTGTACAGCAGGAAATTAATTCGCAGTTAATATTCCCTATATTCGTGGAAAAAGAAATTCTGCGATTTCAACATACTGTGAATAATTCTTTAAAAGATTTATAAGGATAAATTGAAATTTTATTGTTATCTGTGATTAGATTCTTTAAATCTATTTAATTGTCTTCTGGTACAACCACAAAGTAAGGCAGTAATTTAAATATCCGAGCGGGGTCTTTATAATTATGGGGGCATATAGATCAATTACAAACACGTAGTTATTGTTGATGTTTTAAAACTTATTAATTGTTAAATTAATTTCTATAGCAAACGATTAATTTTGTTTAATTTCACCCATGCCTATCACTCAGTCATTACATTTAATCAAGGCACTTACACAGTAAAACAGGGTAAAGGCAATTAATTTCAATTATACAGACTTTCAAAAGGTAAATACAGGAAATATCAGTCTACACAATATATACCTAAAGAAAAATGCTTGCAAGTACTGTTAAAAGATGTACCATTTTTTTTCCGCGAATTCAAACGACTGCGATTTGCTGAAAATTGAACAAATCGTGATCTTTAACCTGCTATACAGTATACACATATATGAATTGCTTTCTTACAACAACATATTTGCAGGAGTTTAAGAATATCTATGTGTAAAGCTGTAACCCTGACCTTCGGCAAAATTCAGTGGGAGTCTCCTGGGTGCTGAAGCTCTGGGGTACAATTGTTCTACATCAGTGTACAATTTAAGACGATCCTCAGCAGAATCTAGATATAAAGTGAAACACTGGTACAATTTTACAAATTCTATGTAAATGTATATACATTTTTTATAGAACTTCACAAGTCCCAGGCAGCAAATGGAATCTTTGTACATATAAAAATGATATAAATACTCATATTTGTACCCTGTTTATTTTACCATAAGATTTATTACCCCTTATTCAACAAAATAAATGAATGCAATGCAATGCATGAATGCAATGCAATTATTTGTTTGGTTTTCATACTTGTTTCCCTTCCACAAAATGCATAATGGATTAGTGTGAACTTGGCACCTCATGATTGTTAAGTATCATGATGTTTGAATTTTTTTAGGCACAAGATAACAATATTCTGGTCCTACTACACACTGACTCACCTGGTTTTAAGGCCTTCTCTAGACCTTCATAATAGGCCCAGTTTTCAGGATTTCGGTTGATTAGGCTCCTGTACATATCAGCTGCTGTACTGTATTTCTCCTTTTGCAGCAGTAACTCAGCTAGTAATAACAAAACATCAGAAAATAAATAGCAGCACATAGTGCATAAAGACAGACAACTTTACCATCCATCCCAACACTTAACAAACATTATGTGTTTAAGATTCGAGTTTATGCATTAAGGTATTATCTGCTAAAACTGGAGATTTGTTAAATTTAAAATTAAGAGATTAAATCTCGAAAAGTTAATCCAAGACAATGCAAGTACAAGTAAATTCTAATATCCACGTGATGCATTATTTTACATGACACAACTCTCCTGTAAGACAAAATTCTAATATCCACGTGATGCATTATTTTACATGACACAACTCTCCTGTAAGACAATACCTTTGGTTTCCTCCACTCCTAATCTGTCTACAATTTGTTTGTCATATCTTTGTAGATGGTTTAATGCTTCATCAATCATTCCTGCCTCTCTCATAATCAAGTTTTGGTACATCAACAATTCATTGTGCTCATAGTCCAAACTCTTTGGCTAGAGAAGAAAACAAGATCAATATCATTCTGATTAAATCATAAAATATGAAAAACAGTTGACTGGGGATGTTCCATGTTGATTGCTAATTCATAAGCACATTTGTAAGACTGGTGTTTACATGGCTAATATAACGACCCAAGTTTAAATCTTCTTCAGGCAAATAACTTGTTTAAATATAGTCATCCCAACCCAATATTTTAAAGATTAGTCTTCAGAAACCTAAGTGGTACGGTATTGACAGATATGTGTTTCCTAAAGTCTGCTTTTCAAATTTCATTACATATGCAGAACTTACAATTTGAGTCTTTCGAAATTCTTCTAGTACATTCAGAGCCATGTCATAGTCTTCTAACAGATGATATGACATGGCATAACCAATCCAAGAGGCCCTTTGTCCTGGACGAAGTACCAGTAGCTGGTAACGAGTCTCCTGAAAATCGAAACAATCTAGAGTCAGAACAAATCTCCTCTGTCTATTAGTAAGTTTTATTTAAGTTAAAATTAAGTTTAATTACTTTGTAAAATAAATTTCGCATAAATATTTCATCATAGGAAATGAAATTATATTTAATTAACAATTTTACTATCCTTTTTTGCAAGGTAATATACTTAATCACCTTTTCCTGGTCATTGGACTATATATTATAGTAGCTAACGGATGACACCATCACATGAATAAGATTTTTTTTAGCTTAGATATTTTTGAAACTTATCTGGAATAAGTAGAAGCCTAACAACACTTTCATTTCATAAGACTGAGTAATTGGAAATAATTTAATTGGATATCTACCACGACACCAATAAACTGTGGAATGGAGGAAATTCGGATTAGGAAAAAAGACGATTGTTTTAAAGATTTCACAAATCATGTAGTACTGGTAAATGGATTATATGAAGGGTATTTACGAACAATAGGACCATGTTACTTTTATTTATTTAATTGATTCGAAGTTTTAAAGCAAAAAACATGGTGAAAGTGTCTGTTTTTAGTAAGGGGACTGGAATGGTTCTGCAGATTTTTAATTCGCTACATGGGCGAACAAGTTATAAATTTTATGACCCTACACCAAAATTTACTCACGGCTTCTAAGCACCTTTGCTTCGTGCTAGTTAGCAAGTATCAGAAGCACATGCCAATTTTCTTTCATTAAGAATAGATAAATTTTAAATTAGAAATAGATAATTCTGGAATGTACTTTACTAGAAGTATGTTTCCAATGATTGATTATGAATTATTATAATCGATCATCAGAATCGGTAGCATTTTTTCATCGACATTTTCTGATTATCGGTACAACACAACTAAGTTGACACCGTAACATGATTACCCTCTCTTGGGACTAGGCTGGAACTTTGTATTTCTGTATCAGATTATCTAATCACCATGACAGGTAGGGATAAATGGGTGAGTAGGCCCTCCCTACACTGTTCAGTAGGATCCATTGTATGCATCATATACAGCATTCCTTGATTTCTTCCCCCACCCACAGAATTGAAAGAAACCCCTATACCTACCCTGTAGCCCTCTAGGTCCCTCATCTGTATTTGTAGCAGAGAAAGATCTCTCAAAATCTGTAGATTATCCTGAAAAAAAATTACAGGGCTTATACACTCATATCATGTCCTAGAATACTAAACAATATCTGTCTTTCTTTGCATGTTGTAGTCATTGTGTACTTTGAAATTATGTCACAACTTTTATAAAATGGTGAGAGAGTATTTTTCACTAAATGTTTTCTGATAATTTTTTTTCTTTTTTCACATTAAGATGTTCCTTACTTTGTCCCATCTGAGAGCATTACGATATGCCTTTATTGCCTCATCGTATTTCCTGTCTGATCTCTGTAGCAATCCATAAACATGCCAGCCTAATTACTGTCAAGGCCAATGTTTCAATGCTTTCCAACTTATCAATAAGTAATACAACACTTAATATAACAATTACGAATTATAAAATTGATTTTTTTTTTTAAAAAAACATCATTTTTCATGTTATTTCCCAAAAGAGGAAGTTGTAGAGGAAAACAGGGCTTTCCTGTTTACATGTAAATCTTAACATGAAATTTTAAAAGGTACATGCTAAAAAAAAACTTGGAATACAAGATGTAAATTTTCATGTACTATCTTGTTAATTAAAGCTGGTACTGACAAATTCTTTATACATTTAAATTTTTTCTAAAATGCAAAAGTAATTATGATGCTCCCAAATGGCATCGTGTGCAATTTGACAACTACATGACATATCTTTGCAAAGTCTTTGTCTGGTCTGAATCCAAATACTTTTGAAAACAGACTACCTCCCTCTTCATAAAGGATACACACATGACTTTTGAGGTCATTTCGTAGTCCTCTTCTAACATGCTCATATGCCTCTTCCTTCTTACCTAGGCAATTCAGGGTCAGACCCTTCATAGCCAAAGTTTCTACAATAACAAACAGATCAAACATCCATTAAAACTCTTTTCTGATACTGAAAATTTACTCTTTTCGTAAGTTACAATTTTCAAGGGATATATTGATATATGCAATAAAACATGTTAATGTTATTCATCATGATCATACATTATAAAATGAGAATATTTACCTCCATGCTCTGCAAATTTTGAATTTGTTAAAATCTGCTTTGCAAATTTCAACCCATTCTTATATTGCTTCTGCTCATAACATTTCTGAAATTAGAAATGAAAGTTTGTTGAAATATTACGTAATTCAATTCTGTAGTTTGGCAAGGTACAAGAGGTGTACAGGCCTTTGGGAGAGTTAGATATGAAATTAACATTTTTTAAAGCACTTTTTTCTTTCTTGTATATACGAAAAACAGGAATCTTCTGTAACTCTAGTTTTATTTTCTTTGCTATTTGGATAATAGCTGCAGAACTGTACCTCTCCGAAAAAATATAATTGACAGACCGGAGAGCTACAGTTCCACTCATTGAAAAAACTGTATATTATTGCGCACAAAAAGTGTGCTCTTTCTTGATTTATTTCTCCATGATTTTAAAACTGTCATCTCAAAATATTACTAACCGTGTGTTCCTAACATACTCTTTCACTGTTTCCACAACAAAACATTCCTTATAAGAGTTTTTAATAGCCCTCTTGGCCCTGATATTGAGATCATCACAATTTTCACCTATTTATACTGCCATTTGATTTGCAAGATAATTTAGTCCAATGCACTTCATACAGATGTAAACTACGAAAGTACTAGATACAAGATGAGTAAAGACTTTCTCAGGTCCAGTCCAAAGACTATTTCTACCTACGTTGCTATTAATAGCTACGTAGGTATTTAAACCTACCCAAAGTAGCTATTTTTACCTACTTTCTGCTTTTCTTGCATTTTTTGGCCAAACGCAGGGAAGGCGCAACATGGTGATCACAAAATTTCTTTAAACTGTCGCAATGGTGATGGATTATGATAAAAATTTGACCAAAAAATGATTACTTTGTATATCATCAAATTTGCATAGAAACTAATATAAAATTGCCAATTCAGTAAGTAATCATTTTTGGCCAAAATTCTGTCGTATTCGTCATTAGTTCAACTGTATAAAAAATGGTGTTCACCATGTTGTGTCGCTCAGTCCTTTGACCACAAAATGCAGATAATACAAAAAGTAGGTAAAGATAGCTACTTTGGGTAGGTTTAAATACCTACGTAGCTATTAATAGCTACGTAGGTAGAAATAGTCTTTGGACTGGACCTGTTTATTGAAAGCTAGTTTTTTTGCAATTAAGGTGAGAATTTGGAAGAATTAATCCAGATCCGAGCATTCTTTTTGTGCGCAATAAATATAAAGTTTTTTCGATGATTAGCACTGTAGCTCTCTGGTCTGTCAATGTAATTTTTCTCAGAGAGCTACAGTTCTGCAGCTATTTGGAAAAATACTTTTAATTTTTTTTTTTTCAAATTGAGTTTGATGCAAATATCCCCCTGTTTTGAATATTGATAACATTAAAATCCCTTCTTTAGCATAATATGTATAGAAAAATTTGCCATCTTATTTGTGTATTGCAATAACACACGTAAAACTGGCTTCATGCAATGCAGGTGTCACATTGGTACAAGAAGAAGGGGCTCACATTTCAATGTTTGGTTAAATTTCACGCTCAGTCATATTCATATTGCGTGAATTGGGATATAAACACTTAAAAACATTATGCAAAGATAACACGGATACTGCAAGATTTATTCGACTGCTTTCATGATTTTGGTCGCCCAGCCCACAAATTCAGCCCAATGTTCAACTCATATAAGTGTACATACCAAGATTCTTTTGAAGAGAGCATTTTCTTTAGGTGGAAGGGGGTTGCTTGTTGGCATTTTAGTGATGTTTAGGGGTATCAATTATTGCCGAAGGCAACAATTCCCATGGAATCAACAAATCAAACCACGAGGTGGAAAATTTCAATATGGAGGACGCAAGTCTCGTTATGTTCTCACATTAAAATTTCTTTAAGCAGAGGTTAATGATTTACCCGTAAAATTAATTGCAAAAATATAAAACTGTATTTAGACTTAAATCAATAAGAAATTGATTTTCTAAAAAATAGATAATCTTTTTTTTGTCGATCATCCCCGAAATCAGTAAAGCGTTTTATGCAATAGAATCTTTCTTTAATCTTATCAAGCTTTTTCAAAGATCAAGATTCCAATTTTTACAATAACAATCAGCTGTCCAAGTGGTGTCCACAAAGAACTAAAAAGGGGAGGGCATAATCGATAATGACTTTTTATTTATTGTAATAGCATTTTAGAAAAACTTTTTCTTGTTAGAATTACTTCAAAAAGGCACCATGACAGAGAATCAAAACACGTCAAATTCTCCAAATAAAGACCCTTCTGTCACAGTCATAGAGAAGCAAACCCAGAGAAGAATCTTTAAAATAATTGTAATTGGAGACTCTAATGTAGGGAAAACTTGCCTTACCTATAGATTCTGTACTGGGAAGTTTCCAGATAAAACGGAAGCTACTATAGGTGTGGACTTCAGAGAAAGAACTGTTGACGTGGATGGTGAGCAGATAAAGGTACAAAAAGTTACTAGGTAAAGAGTAAAATAAAAAGCACGCATGTAAGTCAATACACTCTATTATGTTCTAAATTGAGAACAATTTAATTTATTTACATAATGAATGTTATGGAGTTGTTGACACTGGTAACTGTTTCACTGGAAGTCATGGACAGCATAGATGGCTCATCGAAAGTCTGTCAGGAAAATATATGTATAGTCTTAAAAAATCTTTTCAGGAACAGCAGAGCTATAATTTGTTATGTAATTTAGAAGCATACCCAGGTAGTTTGCACTAGCTGTGAGTTTAATGAGCTGTGATTGTGTTTAAAAGAAGTCTTGTTTCATTGTAGCTGCAACTATGGGACACGGCAGGACAAGAGAGATTCCGGAAGTCCATGGTTCAGCATTACTACAGGAATGTACATGCTGTGGTGTTTGTGTACGATGTCACAAAAATGTCCTCGTTTGAGAACATGCCTGGATGGATTGAGGAGTGTGACAGACACAATCTTAACCTGGATATTCCTCGTATTCTAGTCGGAAACAAGTGTGATATGACTGACAAAGTTGCAGTGAACACAAACCTGGCTCAGAAGTTTGCAGATTCTCACACCATGCCACTGTTTGAGACATCTGCAAAAGATGAGGAGAAGGCAAACCATATAGATGCAATATTTCTGACTCTTGCACACAAGCTGAAGAACAGCAAGCCAATGATGTCTCCGTACATAGGTCCTGGGGGCTACCCAAACAATGTCCAGGTGGTGACTGTGGGGAAGTCCCCCGAGTCCCGAGGTCTGCAGAGAATGGGATCAGAGGTCAAACAAGAGCAGTGTTCTTGTTAAGATCTTTAATGTAAAGGTCTGAAATGACTGTAACTCACTGAGTAAGGAACACAAGTGTGGAAATCATTGACCTGCTGATTGTGTTCAAAAGCAACTGGTTATTATTGTTTACTGGATTCTAGCTCTCTGATCAAAGGGTTTCCACTTAAAATGCTTTGCTTACTTAGTATTCATTGTTTGTTAGGTTTTATTCTAGTATGTGTTCCATACTTCCAAGGGTTTCATGTTTGCTTCATTGCCTGGTGAATATTTAGGATAAGCTAGCTTTGTCCAGGATCACTCATCAATATACCAGAAAATTTTATCAAGATTTTTGCCTCTGAAGCAATACAGTATATTCAAGCTTTTTCAAATATTTACTGCAGTAATTTGTTTTTAAAGTTAGAGTCAGAAAACTTATTATCTCAAAATGATTGAGGATTGAGAAAAAAATCTTCATATTGTCTGAGGATTTGAGATAATGAGGATAAAATGCTTAAAATGCTCAAATAAGTGATTTGGACTTCCAAATGAATTCGAAATATCCATGGTTTTTGAGATACTGGTACTTGGTATTCCAAAGACTGAAAGTTTGACTCTATTCATGAAAATTTAATACAGTACAGACATAGATTCATGATTTTAAGTTTACTATGATAAAGATAATGGTTCTACTTCTGTAAACTGATTTACATTTTGTGTAAAATGTACTGGTATTTAATATACTGTAAACTTTTTTAAGCACTTATTTTTCCATAGTGCACATTGGTGAACATGGTGAACTACAATTTAACAAAAACTGTGATTGGCATAATTCAATCCTTTGTAACAACACCTATAAATATATACACTGTATGTATTGTATATGTAGTCCACATCATACATGTATATTCAATTTAAGTATTCCATTATGAGAGAGTCCTCATTTGTCACATTGTTTTGAAATTTTCTGTCAATCATGTTTACAGTACCATTTTCCTAGTCTTTTATGTTCTGATATTAAAATGTTATCTTTATTTTTTATGTTAAATACTAACTACATATATAATTGGTCCTTTTGTATACTTTCATGTTTGACACAAAAAGACTTGGTCTTTATCGATATATATTATTTGACACTATAGCTACTACCAATGAAAATTTCAAAATACCAGTGTGTAAACTTGTTGGCAAGCATTTATGCATTTTTTTCCTATGAAATATTTAAATCTTGACAACATCAATGGGTTCAGGAGTACTTGATTCTTCAGATCATGCAGATCATACCTTTTTTTCACCTTGTAGATTGATTTATTGATTGTATGCCGATTAATGTTCCTCTCGAGAATTTTTCACTCATATTGAGATGCCACCACGTGGGTGGAGAGCTCGAGATTTTGTCCTATGCTTGGCACTCAGGGTTATTGAGCAATGAGGGATCTTTTTCGTGCCAGCACCTACTGTGACATGGGACCTTGGTTTTTCCGATCTCATCCGAATGACCGGTGTCCACGTCCCACGTTGGGATTCGAACCTGCGACGTAAGGATCGACTCCTTACTTGGTGACTCTGGAGCAGCTAAGATGCTTTTACCACTGCCATGTGCCATGCAAGCGACTCCCCTTGTAGATGATAAATTTTAAATTATGATAGCTAGTCTTCCTAACTGGATCCCAAAATCATTGAATATATACACACTGGTATGAAATGAAAGGATAGTGAGAGAAACGATAATGTCAAAAATCCTTTACGCATACTACTTTTAATTATACTTTTTTTCCATTAAATATTCATATGTAAGCATCACTGCATTTAAAATTTTAAAATACAAGGTCGATAAACTGAGGAGAGGACATGCAATTTCTTAAGCATTTATAGTCATACAATTATTTTAATCCATGCCTTTATAGCTAGAGTCTGATTAGATTTCACAGTTCCAATCTGAATTTAAATAAAATATTTTCAGAGGTGAAATTGTTTCAAACAACTGACTGTCATGTTCCTTAAATCCCCAATATAAAGTAAACATGTACACTACATGGATCGGACTCAATATCAGTTTAATTTAAATATATGTGCAGTTGTACACATAATTTTTATTTATTTTTTTCATTTACACCAAGTTCAGTTGTCTTTCAATATGTTCTTGCTTGATAATAGTCTTTAGTGTTTTGCAAATGTTTGTTTTTCATTAAGTGTTGGCTTATCTTCATTGGAGGTGTATTAAGTAAAAGTTCTGGTAAAGGAATATCTTTGTAAAATATTAAATTGAAACAGTGGCTGGAAGGTAACAACTTAATAAATGTTAACATCAGTTCTGGTAATTGGAAAATGTTGAGAATAAGCAGGCTTTCTGTAGTTTTTACAGTGCAAGTGGGGGTAGAGTTTTTGAATACTTTAAAAAAAAAAAAGGAGAAGGGGAAAGACAATATGAAGCTCACACTTTACAAGCCCCTATGAAATTCATTTTCACTTAGTCTTATAACAGTATTGCAATCTTCTATATTCTTTGTGTATTGAAACTTAAAAGATTGCTATTACAAAAATTGTTATAAAATCATCGTTTATCAGATGAGATCTTGCATTTTTCCACTTCATGGTTTATACCTTGTGTAAATCTATCCTGGAAGTCACTGTTAGCATAAATCCATTGGTGATTGTTATTTGTTCACACATCATTAATGATTCCATTTAATTATTGTTGTGAATAAAATGTATATATTTTAATAAATCTGGGATAAAACAAATCTCTCTTGGTTTTGTATTTAACAAAATGCTCAGATATATTTTAGCTCACCTGAGCTGAAGGCTCAAGTGAGCTTTTCTGATCACATTTTTTCTGTCGTCCGTCCGTCTGTAAACTTTTTACATTTTCGACTTCTTCTCAAGAACCACTGGGCCAATTTTAACCAAACTTGGTACAAAGTATCCTGAGGTGAAGGGGAATTTAAATTATTAAAATGAAGGACCAAGTCCCCTCACAAGAAGAGATAATCAAGAAAAGAAAATAGGGTGGGGACATTAAAAAATCTTCTCAAGAACCACAGGACCAAAAGCTGAAACTGATGTGGAAGCATCTGGTGTAGTGTAGATTCTAAATTGTTCAAATCATGACCCCTCGGGGTTTGGGCAGGGCCACAATAGCGAATCACAGTTTTACATAGAAATATACTGTGTATAGGGAAAATTTTGAAAAATCTTCTTCTCAAGAACCACTAGGCCAGAAAAGCTGAATATTATGTGGAAGCATTCTGGGGTAGTGTAGATTCTAAATTGTCCAAATTATGACCCCTTATGTAGAGTGGGGTCACAATAGATATTACAAGGGGGAAATCTGGTAAATAACAGTATGTATGCCTTTCAACTGCCGCTGGGGTTCGCTGTTATGAACGATAACTCGTTGCTAATATTTGTTTAGAGCAGGTCCGAGGTATCGAACTGTTTATACACAAGTCAGTGTTTAGCATTTCCCAAGTGTTTCTTTGCTGTCAGGAGAATCAGGTGGTTTTAAAATTTAGCAATAATGTTAAACTTATTTACTATATAGTTGTGGACACCGTTAAATTACATATAGGTAATTTTTAATTAAAATAAAAAGTGAAGTCTACCCTCCTTCTTAGTTCTAACCTAATTCCATTTTTATACTCGTTCGTTCTTCTTCATGCTAAGTAACACAAATAAGATAACTAATTGTTGCATTTACTTGTAAAAATATATATGTTTATATAGGAAGCGCAAAAGCGCGCACACAAAAAACATGACATTATATTTTCTTCTTCATAACAATAATCAAAGAGAGTTAAAAATGTTGAATATAGTCTGTTCCCCATTCATTTGACCCTGTTATTTCAGGTAGAGTGAAGACATTCTCCTTCTTTTGGTGATCACTTTTGTGTACCAAGCAAAGTAAGGAACCGCGATTACCCTTTTGTGTACATAACAATACCAATGCTGAAGCAGCCTATATGTCATTCCTATGAATGATAACTCATAAATTGGCATTTAGTTGGTCATTTTTCACACCTGAGTTACCTGTCCTTAAAACACAACATCGAAGAAGTCAATTACAAATAATTTAACCTTTTAATGATTTAATTAAAGAGTATATGCATAAGTTATTATCTTTTTTGATAATTTCATGTACCTATAAATCTATGTCTAAAATATTTTTAATTATATGTGCAACTTGAATAATTAGTTGAAAGGCCTACAGTATGGTCAAAGCTACTCAGGTGAGCAATGTGGCCCATGGGCCTCTTGTTTTTTATTCAAACTACTGCAAGTAAATTATACATGTACATGTAATCATATATATAATCTGAAAGTTAAAAATTTTGGCAGAAAAATGAAAGTCAGTCAAGCATTCAAATCATGAAAACTTGGTCTCTGACTTCCTTACATATCCCAATTTGGGAACAAAGCCTATGTAGTCTTACTTGTGCTATTCAACAATAACAAAGGCTTTAAGTAAAACCTTTCACCATTAACTGTAATTGTATTTTTTTTAATGTGTGAACATGCAGATTGAAACTGTCCCTTTTTGTCTAAATCGTAGATCTTGACATTCATCTTAAAGTTTGTAAAATTAGGTTTCAATTTTTGCAATAGTTGGACTTGAAATAGACCATCGTCGCAAACCACGGCCAAAATGTACGATCCTCTCCCATTCTGGCATTGACTGAACGAGAAGAGAATTTCTCATAGTTCATTAAAATATTGACCAATGCGAGTAAAGCATAGTCAGATAATGAACTTTGATGTGACCTTTCAATACCCAATCACAATGTACGAAATATTTCTTGTATATACTGCTGATGTGAATTGTTAATTTCAATCGCGATGGAAACAACACTTGTCATTGACTGAATATGGCGTGCCACGGGTAGGAGAGAGCTACATGCGAACTCCGGACCGTGGCTTGAGACGATGGAAATAGACGGACTAAACAAGAAGTCTGTGAGCCAATGCTCACTAGTAATACCCCACTCTTATGTGAATATACACTATCATGTTAATGTTCGTAAGTTCAGTTACAGGCTAAAACACAGATAAGCAGAAGTTGACATAGGATTTGAACAAAAACGAATCCAACTACTAGTATATGGCAAGCCTCAGCAAAGAATCTGCTAAAATTTCAAGCATCTGTAATTAGTTGCTGAGAAAACTGCAACAAAAATTGTTATATATGGAATGGACAGATGCACAATTTAACAGGAAGTTGACATCAGATTTGAACAAAAATTAATCCCATCATATGGCATGCGACAGCAAAGAATTAATATGCTAAAATTTCAAGCATCTGTGATGAGTAGTCGCTGAGAAAACTGCGACCAAAATATTTGACAGAGATGGACACACACACATGTAAAACAGTAACCCCCCCCCCCCCTCCTCTCCTTAGGAGTGGGGATATAATAAACAAGCTCCCAAACTAATGATCCTGTTATCATGAAAACCATAAAGAGGATATAGAATTTTTGTTTTGTTTTTTATTTTTGTTAAACAGTCCCAAATTGGGTTTCATAACATAGACTATTATTTCAGTGGACAAAACATAAAATGAAATGAAGAATGAATCAAAATGACATGTTTGATATTATTTTCAAAATGACAAGTACAATGATTTGATATTATTTTCAACATGCTGAATTTATGCACTCACAATGTACAGAACACACAAAAAAAAAAAAAGATAAATATGTTTCACACAGTGAGACATGTTGGGAAATCTGACTAATATCAACGTTTTTTTTTTATTAGCTGACTGTATCTCTTGTTAAGCCATCATATGACACAAAATAAATAAATCTCAACATCATCAGATTAATGGACTGAATTTAAGCACTTCCCTTACCTTAAAAAAATAAATATGTGAAATCATTATCTTAACAAATTAAGTTTACAATAAACTCAATCACTCTCTTTACAACCTGTGTACTTTGATACAGCATTTTATGTACAATTAGTAAATATATCTCTATATAGCTGCAATAATGTAGCCCTCTCCGATTTTTTTTAATCTGATGTTTTCTGGAGGAAAAAAAAAAAAAAAAAAAAAAAAGGGGAGAGGGCTACATTATTGCAGCTAATCTCTATACAGAGAGAAAATCTTTCTTGAAAGCCCTTTTGAATATGATTTTCAATCACGTGAGTATGATTATAAAATAAAACATTCTCAAGAAGCTTCAGCCTCTGTAACTTCCACTTTTACTTTAACAAGTTCTTCAGTTACACTTTCTTGAGATGGTCCCTCAGTATTTGTGTCTTTCATTTCTTCTTCTGCATCTGGTACTTCCTGTTTAACAATGGAATCTGGTACTTCCTGTTTAACAATGGAAGGATTGCACACAGTTTCCTCAACACTTGAGCTTTGCTGAGTCTCTGGAGCACTTTCCTCCTCAGCTGGTTCCTCTACTTTCACTTTCGGTTTGACAATCATGTTCTCCTGGTACTGAATCACCGTATCAGCCGGAATCTGCCCCAGTTCTTTTTTGATCTGCATGATGAGAGGATTATTCTCTGCCGTCTTTGGTGTAGGAGTTGGTGTTGTTTCTATGATGCTGCCCTAAAACAAAAAAGATACCTCCGTATGATTGGACAAATACATCACTTATTTATTACAGTGTACATGGAACTACTGTATTACAATATAATTAAGCCACAAAATAAGTGAATTCATACCTCTTTTTCATCTTCATAACACACAGGATGGTATGTCTAAAAGGAAATAAAATATATTTTAATTAATTTAAATCATACTTTTTTATGTTTAATACATGCATGTATTTTTTTTTTTCTTTTTAAATATTGCAACAATAACATCAAAGGTAAGAGAAAGAACTTTATTCGGTAGTAACCAATATTTGCCCCCCAAATCAAACTTTGACGGAGAAATATTTTATTATGCTCTTAAACAGGGGGATATATGCTGACTTCAAGCACTGAATATTTTTATAAGCAATGACGTCATACATTTGTAATGATGCCACAAAAATGACGTAAATTTAAAATTTCCATGATTTCTACAGAAAAATGTATATGTTACGTCGATATTTTAAGTACAAGTCACCAAGCGCAGATCTGATCAGGATCAATATTTTGATATAATGAGAACGATAATATCAATGAAATATGTAAATATTGTTCCTGAGCAAACTTGCGCTCTATAAATTTTAAAGCTAAAATTGTTGAAATTTTGTCCATTTTGTCCTCTTTCTCAAAAATGATATAAAATTGGACTATTTTGTGACGTCATAAAAACAAAAATTGTCAATAAACTACTTTGAAACTTTAATATGTTCTGTTAATTTATATTTCTCATACAATTTATAGAATTCAGCACATTTCAAGAATTTTTCAAAATTTGACTTTTGTGGGGGCAAAGATATGCAATATACCGCATATACCGGTAGTTCTTTTCCTATGAAAAACATGTGCATTTGCCCCCCAATGATAAGCATCGGAAACCAATACAATGTACAGAAGACTACAGTACAAGGCGCCCGTTTATACTGACCTTCCCCTCTGATCTGATTGCGTCCTTGAGATGCCATTCCTCTTCCTCTTCATCCCAATACTGGTCGAATGGGTCACCACAAATATCACACACCTGGACAAATCAAAAACATGTATATGTTAACTTTTTATTTCTATCGTACTCAAGATATGCAAGTCTTCTAGTCACAAAGAAAAAATTAAATCCAAAATTCTTCAAATCTTCTGTACTTTACTAGGATGACAAAGCTGT